CAACACATGCATTGGAGAGAATTAGATCAAGTTCTAGAGTACCACTGCAGTGAGGACTCTCAAAAAAAAATTAACTGTATAGGCACAAACCTCACAAGCTGTGGTATCAAACTAGACTCTTCTTGATTTCATTTCAAGCATCATTATCATAGAAATCAAACAAACGAGCAATCATAATCTCTATTCATGCTCTATGCAATGTCATGACAATCTTGCATATCATGCAATGCTTCCTCATATTCAACCAAGGAATTGACTGAGTAGCACATCTAAATCAGGACTGTGCTTTCACATAGCAGGAAATGAAACTAAAAACACAAAATTTCTACCAAAATGAAAAATAAAATAAAAATGAAAATAACTAGAAAGGTTAAAATAACTCCCCTGAAGTGGCTATGAATCTGCTGAACCTTTTTCTGTGTGTGATACCTCGATTTCCGTGTATGCGGCCCCAATTCCCAGATTTAGAACATTGCTGTCCTCAGCAATAACTAAAGTAGTCAGAGAAAATACTGCTGCGCAAGTATAAACAACACACATGTGAAATGTCAAACAGAAAATAACATGACCAATGTACTGGAGAATTACAACCCAAAATACCAAAGAGGTTCAAATGACCCTAACATAAACCTAGATGGTCAAACAAAGACAATGAAAATAAAACATCACAATAAAAATTAAACACAGATAAGAGAAAGGAAATAAAATAAAATAAAAATAATAATAAAAACTCATTGGGTTGCCTCCCAAGTAGCGCTTGTTTAACGTCACGAGCCTGACGTACCCCTTGTGATCATGGTGGCTGGTAACTCGGGCTCAGTGATGACACTATACCGCGCTCCGGGCGCCAGGCTTGGAGCGTCGTGCGCCACCACCCGCGCTTCGTGCGCGACCGAAACAGAAGCAAATCGTCGATTTGGTGCCCCGTGCGCCAAGTACCGCGCCCTGTGCGCCAGTTTGGCGATCCGTGCGCCAACCTCCGCGCGTTGTGCGCCAGCGGGAAATTTGGTTTCTCCGTTTTTGCTCCTTTTTGCGGTGTTTCCTGCTATTTAAACATATAACTTGAGTGAGAACATTGAGAAGGAATAATCAATATTTCTTGCATTCAATGACTATTTTCACTCATTTATGATTAATTCCTTGCTTCTTTCAAGTTAGAAAACATCATATGCTAGACGCACATCAGCTTTCCAGTCCTCCTCCTCTATCTCCAAGTTTCCTCCTCCACCATTCAGACTAATTAATTTTTCTTTGTACGAGATGACCCTCTTACTAGCTATCTCCTGCTTTGCATTGACATTCTCAGAGTGGATGGATTTGGTCACTTCACTATCTCCATCTTCCAATTTCTCCATCATTTCATCATCCATGTTATTGTCTTCCACCACATCGCCTTTAGGTTTCTTCACGCTCCTCTGACTCAATGCCTCTTCCTCAGCCGTATGCTCTCTCGCTCCTCGCGTTCTGTCGTCCTTGTTTCCATCGCCATTGTGTGACCTCTCACACAACTCTCTCCTATTACTCTTATTATCTCTTTGATTACCGTTATCAATTAATGGACTGATTCAATACAATACCAATATTTAAAGTGGAGCAATCCCTTCTAATTGATTAACTTGCTTAATGCTGCTATCACGCAGCTTAAATTATTATTTTTATAACTTGCATGTGTTCAGCATAAAAGAAAATACAAACTACATATTCAATTCAGCCGATAAAAAAAATAAAAAAAATCACCCACAAAGTTGTTGCTGTTAATATTCTTTTAGACATCAATTTCCCCATACTAGTTTTACACTCTAAATGGAAGACTAACATGTCTTACCGTATAATTGATTAGTCACCATATGTCAGTACCAAAAACAATTAATCACTATATGTCTTTTATGTGAAATGAAAAACAGGAAAAAGACTACCATCTAACTATACTTATCAATAGAAGCCATTTTTTTTTTCTAAAAAAAATCTATATTGAGCAAAATCACCGTAACTTGATGACAATGGTAACATATTATAGTTTAATCGACAAACTGCACATGAATAGGTATTGAGGCTTGTTAGTATGATGCAACATTAACAACAACGGATACCAGCCATAGTCTGGGTTAGGTTTCAATTGCCAGATTTTGTTAGTTAATTTCAGGTACCCATATTTAATAATAGCTTGTAGATTGTGGAGATCTTCCAGCGTGCAGTTTGTAGGCAGCACATTTTCCACTGGCCAACCATGACATATTATTGATCCCCATGCATGTGCACCCGGGATTGCGTTTTGGCCTTGTTATCAAAAACCATGAGCTCTCTTGTATTCTTTGATTATTCTTATAAGGAAAAGTGTGTATCATTTTGAAGGATATAAAATTATGTTATTTTAAATGAGAGAGAGAGATAATTCACGAGAGAGAGAATCAGTGAATTTTTTTTAAAAAGTGTAGGACCCACCTCTTTGTGAACGTGAAAGGATATATGGTGTGTCATTTAAAATGACACACTTTTTCCCCTTTTATAAATGACTTTCCATTATATTACATATATAGACATAACACCGTCGATCTGCATAATAAAAAAATATTTTCAATTATTTTATTATAATATTTTTCATTTTTTTATTTAAGCAAACTAGTCCCCATTTTTCTTGGAACTGTGCAGCAAACGAATCCCTTCAAGTTAAGTTGATGTTTTATGTTTTAACAATATCGAATAACATATTCATGTTTGTGATATGTTATTTTACCTTTTTTTTATGCCTACTTTATTATTAATCTCTAATACTGTTAGATCAGAATCTCAAGAGAAGAGAGAAATTATAAAGGTTAATTAAAATTCTAATCTAATGGTGTTAGAGAATGATAGTCAAGGTAAGCATAAAAAAATATAGGTGGAAAAACTTATCCCTTCATGTTTTGACAGCATTATTGAAAAAAAAAATTAGTTATTTTATTTGGAATAAGTTGTTCTACTTTCTTTTTTCATGCTTACCTTACCTACTAATTTCTAATATCGTTAGATTAGAATTTCAATAGAAGAGAGAAATGATAAAAGTTAGTTGAGATTCTGATCTAACTGTATTAAAGAGTGGTAGGTAATCAAATAGACATAAAAAAGAATTAAGTAGAATAATCTATCCCATTTTATTATAGCATTTTTCATTTTTTTAAGCAAACTAGTCCTCCTTTTATTTTTCCTTGGAACTACAGCAAACTAATCCGTTTAACACGCAGCATATAATAAGTTGAGTTGGGTTTAATTTATGCAACACGCAAATTTAATGGACTGGGCCGTCTCATCACATTCAAGAATAAATTGGAACGGGCCGATTGGTTTTGGGACTCCCGAATCGTTTCTACCTCTAGTTATAACAAAATGTTGAATATCTGGGTTTGCTTTTTTTTTTTTACTATCAGTGTAAATAATTTATCTATATTAAGTCTAAAATAATATTATTTTAAGGTAAAAAACAAGGTATTTTTGTAATTATAATTTATTTTAGAGTTATAGTAGTCTTTTTCATTATAATTTTTCAACACAAAACGACATCGTTTTGAGAACGAATATAGATAACTTATCTACATTCACTATAGAAACATTAAAGCCATCTAATAATTATTAATTTTGGGTTATAAGTCATTTTACTGGTAGTGATTAATAATAATTTTTTAAAATATTTTTTAATTTCCTTAAGAAGTTATTAAAAAGAATTTTTATTTAAATTAATTAATTCAAACACAGATCTATTTAATATTTATGAAATAAAATCGATTTTTTGTTTACGAGTCTCATGTTTTATATTATTGCTTGCATCTACTAGTGGTATTATATAGTGTTTTAAAACTCGGACCGGTCATCGACTCAGTCGAGGTACTGCGTCATTGGGTCACTGCTCAATTAGGTTCAACCGATTACACTGTTCACATATTAAAAAATATATAAATATATTACTTACATTAAAATTCATAAAAGAAAACTATCGATAATGTGCTTTAAAAAATAGGGGGGGAAGCAAGTAAAAAGCTGCAAATGAACACTTCAATATGTCCCAACATTACAATAAATCAAACACAAAAAATAAAAGAAGCAAATCATAAAACCTAAATTTGTTTTGTAACTACATGAAAACAAAAAATCAAAAGCTGGGCATGAGTATAACATAAAAGTCATAAACAAACAAAAAGGCCCTCCTAGTCCTTCACAACTCACAAGCTTCCTTCACAAGCTGATGAAACTTATAAGCCAATAATACACAAGCTGATGAAAATACAATTGAATTCAAACCCTCCTTGAACTTCTCCACCAATGTCATCCAAACATTGACCAAGATTGCTTTCATTGGTGTTTGCTATAGCCATGTCTTGTACATCATCATCATGATCCTCGTCTAAATTCGATTGTTCTACAATAACATCACAACTTATGTAAGTTAGTAATTAATATGCAATTATTACATAATGAAATTAAACAATAGAATTATATTAATAACTTGTATAAAGAAACATACCAATATCATCTACAATTGGTTGAATGAGATTATTGCTTATATCTTCACGTAAAGATCTTACCTTCTCATATGTTAATAATGGTGGTGACTCCTCAAAAACCCAATTATAATGATCCTCCATTGTTTCAAAATTAATTAGGTCATAATTTTTGTGCTTTAATTGATTCCTATTTTTTTCAATATTCAACATGAGCAAATACATACAAATATTTGTCCAAAAGAAAGTAAACAATCAATTTTGCATAATATTAATACCTTTGTCGGAGTTTTAAGTTGTACCAAACATAGACAAGATCATTTGGCCTTTTATGCTGTAACTGATTTCTCCTATTTGAATGAATATGCTCAAATGCACTCCAATTTCGCTCACAACCAGCGGCACTACAAGTTTGACTTAAGACACGAATAGCCAATTTTTTCAAGTTTGGTGCACCAAAGCCATATGTTTCCCTCCATTTATTTGAAATATTGTAAGCAATAAAATAAATTAACATTCATACTGATTTTATTCAACTGTAATAAGAATTAAAGGTAAAGTTCACAAATTATTTTACCTGGCGTAACTGTATTTCGTTCCCGAATAGCTGCTTGCCTTCCAAAATTAAACTCAGCTTCTCTGAATATTCTCATCGTAGCCGTTAAATTGGATTGCAAATCCACATCTCGATATGCATGCCTCTCAATAACATCTAAAAGACCAGACGTTGTCAATTCATGTTTTTGAAACTCCTCATAATTGAAATGAGATCTTGGATTTAACAAATATCCTGTAACATGTAAATTTCTACGAAGTTGTGAATCCCATCGACTATCTAGGATTTTCAAGTATGGCTCCACCTTTTTCTTTGAAACCTATTGATAATCTCTCTCTTACTTTATAAAAGGCCTAATAAAGATAACTCATGGAAGGCTTCTCTTTACTATCAACAAGACATAACAGTCGCACAAGTGGCTCAGTAACTTTCACAATGTCAGCACACTCTTTCCAAAATCTAGAATCTAAGACTTGCTCAACAAATCTTTTAGCCTTGACATCCTTAGGATAGGCCGAAATTGTCCACTCTCTTGATGTTACCATTGCTATTAATGCGTCTTTTTGAGCCAATATGCTTTGCAAAGCAATGAAATTTGTGGCAAAATGAATTTGATCTGGTCGAAGAATTTCTTTGCCTCTAGTAAATTTTCTCATTAAATGCAACAGATGACAATGGTTATATACATACTTCGTAATTTTTGAAGCATGTGCCACAACCTCACCCACTTCCTCTAACTCGCCAATGTCCTGTAACATCAAATTAATACAATGAGCAACACAAGGAGACCAAAATATCTTGGGAAACTCGGCCTATAATAATTTTTCTACAGCAACATAATTGGCAGCATTATCAGTCACAAATTGAACAACATTTTCAGGCCCAACAAATAGCACAATATCTTTGAAAAGCTGAAATAATAAATCTGCAGTTTTAGAAGCATGAGAAGCATCCACATACTTCAAAAAAATAGTTCCTTTAGGACAATAAACAAGAAAATTAATAAGAGTTCGCCTACACCAATCAGTCCAATGATCTGCCATAATAGTGCATCCAGTAGTGTGCTTCCAAACTTTGCGATAACTCTCAACAAGATTATGAACCACATCAACCCAACTATCTAGCAGAGCACCACGTAACATGTGCATGGTTGGAGCTTTAAAACCTGCACCCATGTTACACACAACATTAAACATTTTCTGAAATCAAGGATTGTTAGCTGCATTAAATAGGAGGGCGAAAACAATCATCCACTTTGAAATAGAACGGTGAGCTCTCCAAATCACTTCTTTACTTTGTAAAGCACTTTTTATGGTTAGTTGAGCTCCAGGAGTTGTTCTTGGAATAAAATAAGAACCCAAGGTGTTCTTCCCTTTTTTTAGATTTGGAAGGTGGTTGATTATCAACATATCTGATATCATTACAATATTCATCGTTTTCTTCTTCTTCAAGTTGAACTTTTTTTCTTCTTCTTACTTTCATCAACACTTTTTGTCATTTCATCATGCACCTAGGCTCAAACCTTTTTACATGGCTCAACTTGCCCTTTTTCTCCGGCCAAATGATTCTTCAATCAATTAATCCCACCTCCTCTAATAACTTTATTTTAATGCTGACATATTATAACAACTTTTCATCTTCAATAACTTGTCTATAATGTCCCCAGCTTGGATCTGTTTTCCCCTTATAATTTGGTTTAGAGGAATTTTGAGATGATACATTTTGGGATGGTGTTGAGTCAGATTCAGTAGATGACATATTTGTGAAAATAAATATGCATTAAACGTACTTTCCAATCATCAAATTTGAATAAATAGTGCAGCGTGTATATAATAGTGACAAAAGGAAGGCGGAAAGGAGGAGAAAATATTACAGAGTAAGAAGGGAAAAAATAATCTAAAGAATAGAGTATACATAACAAATTTCATTGAACAAATTATGTATGTTAATTTTGTATGTCTGAAAGCAAGTAATTAAGAATGTATCCATTTTTTTATTAAATTGAAAAAATATTGTGATTTTTACTAACTAAAACTTAAGCTTATAAAGCTAGGAAGGTCAATTAAGATTTTATCAATCTTGAACTGCAGCCGATAGTCGAAGACTAATCCTTTTGAGATGGAAGATCACATTAAGTGGGTAAACCTCTACCAACAAAGCCTTTTCCATATACACGGCCAAGGATCGAACCCTTGTAAGCATGCTTAAGGGACCCAGCTATCTACCAACTATGTTGGGCTTTGTTGGTACCTTTTTTTTTTAATAACACATATTTTTTAAAAAAAAACATCTAACCAGTCCAAACCGAGTCTCTTTTAACTCACCGGGTCATCCAGACCTGGCTGAGTCGACCGATTCAAACCGGGTTGACTGCACAAAAGGTCCAAAGAATAGCTCGAACTAGGGAACCCACTAGATCACCAAGACCCAAGTCGACCCGGCCGATCTGATCCAATTTTTAAAACACTACTACACATTCCCAAACCAAAATATCATCTCATTCATGATATTTTTTTCCCACCGCGAGGGAAAGGATGAACAATTTTGTCAGACGAAAATGCCCTTATCAGCTGTGTGAAAACGGAGAAATGATCGGCAGATTTGGGATTAACACTGAAAGCATTCTGGTATTTAACCTCACCACCTTCCCCATAATCCAAGAAGAATGCTCCATTCACCATTACATCTCCTTCTGACCTCCAATTCTACCTACTCCACTCCCTTTTCCCTGTTAGCCTCTTCGTCACTTCCTTCGTGTAACGATCCTCCGGTGCCATGAACCAGTGCTGTTGAGTATGAGTTCCTGAGAGAGCTTAATCATCATGTTAAATTTGGACTTTTTTTTCCTTGTTGTGTGTTTGTTGATTAATGAATAGACAACCACCAATGTTGCGCATAACATAACTGATGTTTGTTTATGGGAAGTTGGAGTTGGGGCCTAGAGGGGTCTCACTCTCAACGACACCATGATGAACAGAGCCTAGCATAGTTATAATTATGTTTTATTTATTTATTTAGTAAACACAATTTTGTTTTGTTGGGAGAGGTTAATTTTATAATTTCGGTCTAAATTCCCAACAATATTTTACAATCAACAAAACATAGTATCAGGAAAATTAACACAACATTTTCGAGAAAATTTTGGCCTACCAAACAACTTTTTGATAACTTTTTCGGGAAATAAAATTTTCCATCATATTCCCAGAAATCATGATTCTTGGATAAAAAAAAAAATCTACTCTACCAAACGTCCCCTGAGTTTTTGTTTTTGTTATAGGATCTAGACATAAGCAAGTTATGACATAGCTTTCTATCTCTTAACCCTTTTTTTTCTTACATGCTTAAATATTTGATGCAAAAGCAGATTAAAAAAATTAAATAAAAGTTGCGATTGATAAAAGAGAAACCTTTATTCTGAATTTCTGTTATTAAAATAATAAAATATTTAACTCCTACAATAGGGGGCTTAAGCACCATTTTATAGAGCAATTACAAATCAATTCTAAATTTAAAATAAGATTTTTTTTAAAATAATATAATGATAACTAAATTTTAAATAAAGTAAAATAATTACAATAAAATCAACATAACCTGTTTAGCAACAAAAAAAAATCAACATAACCCAAATTAAAAACATGTCTCAAATCTTCAACGTCGAATCAAGTCAAATTTGTTATTTGTTATTTTTTGTCTAACAAATTACAATTAAATATGCTATTTCATTTTAATTGAGATTCGGTTGTAATATATTAGATTTTAAATTGATGATTATTTGAAAGAGTAAGTGATGTTTAATTGGATATAATTCTATTTAACTCTATATTTTTTTAAACAATCCATTGATTGTTTGGGCCTGAGTAATAGACCAACTTTGAAGGCATTTATAATATTCCAAACTTTGTAATCCTAATTTTGGAAAATGTTTAAAATAATAATAATACTAATAATAGGAACAACAATACTAAGGGGTGTATTGGATTAGAATTTTAAAAGGCTTTTTTGAGATAAAAAATCTTATAGATTTTTAAAGATTATTTATAATTGGAGGGACTTTAAAGACTTTTTTAAAACATTTTTTTTTACGATCAAGATTTCATAAGATTGAATTTTAAAGGATTTTAATAGAATTTATAAGATTTGAAATGACAATATGGATTTATAAGATTTTAAAAAATCATATGAATTTTTAACAAACATTCAAAATTACAAGAGTCAATAAAAAAATAACAAAGAAATGCAATGATATTAATTAAAAAAAAGTAAAACCTAATATAATTTAGTCAATTAGTAAAACATAATATAATTTTTAACAAACATTCAAAATTACTAAGTAATATCTCTCCACATATCTAAACTATACTAGTCCTCCACGCATTAGGAGTTAATTTGAATTTTTTTTTACTTTTGATCTTGGAAACCTTGAGGTTTTTGTTCTATGTGATGAGGGATTTGGATTCTCTCATGTGAAAATTCACATGACCATGTCATGTGGGGAATCATAATCATACAAAGGTGGATCAATGGTAATAAAGGAGGAAAGAAAAAAAAAGTTAAAATAGGTAGTTACGAAATCATAACCGTTGATTTACCTTTGTATGATTGTGATCTTCCCACATGACCATATCATTTTTTTTTTCACATGAGAGGATCTATTTCCATGTGATGAGAGCTTTCTAACCATATATGCATGTTTTCATTGAGTATTTTAAGAAAATTTTGAATCTAATTTATGGGTTTTATTACATGTAAGTTTAAAAAATTTCTCAATTTATTTTCAATCGATACATTGAAACCTGAAATTGCTTTGTGGTTTCCTATAACGAAGGAATTTTGTTCATGAATGCATTGTTACGAAACATAGGGTGCAAATGATGAAAGTTTTAATCTTTCTTTAAATCGATCTTGTTTCATTTATGTAAAATGAAAATTGATTTGGGGGTTTTTTGTTTCCCTATGGTTTCCCACTATTTTATATTATTTTTAGAAGGGGGTTATACTTTCTACCTATTTTTCTTACTATCTCTTACTACCAAATCTTAACCGTTGATTTCCGTCAATATAACGGTTGTGATTTATTGGGTCATATTTATTAATTAATTATTAATTTCCAATAAATTATAACCGTTAGATTGACGGAAATCAACGGTTAAGATTTGGTAATAAGATGTAGTAAGCATAACCTCTCACTTGTTACTAATACAAAAGCATACTTTTTTGTGTTAAGAAAAATCGCGACCCATGGGTTGACAAATCATTTTTAAACTTCCAAAAGCTCTCAAAATGGCTCAAAAATCTGTTATTTTTGAGACGGATTAGATTAGAACCTTATTGGGTTATTGTTTCTGGGTTATTTTGTAATGAAATCATTCAAAATTATGCTATTTTTGAGCTTTGACGAACCTCCCATGGCGGAACCCGATTTTGAGCGAGTCAACCTGTCAAAGGAAGAAAAAGTATTGTAATAAAGAGATCCCAAGAAATCCAAAGGGTTAGAGTGAGATTGTGAGACTTACATTTCATTTATATTTTTCACTAAAAAGTCTCACGAAATTCACACAAATAGAAAATTCATTAAAATCGTCAGATTTTTAAATATCACAAGATTATTTTTTCTTTGTTTAAAATCCTGATTGAATACCACCGAATTGAACAGACTTTAAATAATCTTTTAAAATCTTAATCGAATATCATATGACCTTTTTCAATTCTTTAAAATCCTAATTGAATTTCAATGAATTTTTTTTCCAAAAAAATCCATTAAAATCCCAAACGAACACATCCCTCTAAGAATAATTTGAGAAATATAAAATAAATACAATAAAAACAAATACAAATTTTTACAAGGGATACTTTTTAAAAAGTCTTGTGGCTAAAATTTCAACTTGCAATTAAAGAAAAACGGATGCACAAAAGCACTTTCATACCATTTCTTATTAATTATATAAAATTTTGCCTCTTGTAAAAATGGTATTGAAAATTTTATAAATGTCTAAACAGTTTTATTTTATTATGTTTAAGTAAAATAGTGAGTTTTAATCTTTTAATAATAATACTAATAATAGGAAGCGTTGATTGACCATTTTAACTCTATTTTAATTTTTTTTTATAAATTTACCATCAATATTAATAAATTGATAAGAATATAACTCGTTTTATTGAAACACAGCAAAAAATATTTACAATTTGAATTTTGAATTTATACTGACAATTAATTCTATTCCTTAATTAAGTATACATTAAATGCAGAATATTAATTATCATTACCTCCTAATCCTATTCCTATAATTATCTATACATTAAATGCAAAATATTTTCAATAATTACATATATATTAAATGAAAAATATTTTCAAAATATTGTTTGTTCCTCCCCTAAATATATTTCTTTTCTCAAATTATATATTAATATATTTAATCGAAGTTGACCGATATTTACTAAAATAAATGAGTAATTTATTTGAGTAAATAACTGAACAAGAATTAAGATTTGGTCGAACTTTCGTTAAACAAAAGTAAAAGTATATAATTTAAGAAGACTGACATAATAATATATAATTTGGTAAAAGAAAAAAATATTGTGTTTGATTTCCGCCAAATACAATTTTGAAAGGGAAAGATTTAGAGTACTCCGGACCTTAGGTAGTCCTCCCATTTCGGGAATGACACTTGGACCCAAAAAAAAAAAAATCTCTCTCCTCTATTGTCAAGCTCTTTTCTCTTTTTCTTTTAGTCGTTTCACCAAATTTTATCGGACGTCCAGAGCACACAAATAACGCTCCTTTGGGAGGGACAAAGAACTTTAAATGGATTAAGCCTCCATTCGAGATTAGTTTCATAACCAACTTAAAAGAGTTGAAATTTCTAAGGATACCAGGATCAACTTGCTTCAAAAAAGTAATTATAGTCAGTGTAAAAAAAGTAATAAAAAAATATAAGGACAAAATAATCAATGAACCGAAATCTGTATCTATTATATATTTATCTTTCTATCTGCCACACGTAAAATCTTTACAAGATAGTTTTAAAAAAATAATAGAAAAAATATTTATCGTTTTAAAGTACATATAATTATGTTATTTTAAGTGAAAAAAAATATAAATTAATATTTTTATTTAAAATTTAAATTAAAAAAAAATACATACTTTTTCTTCTTTAATTTTCATTACTTATATCTTTCTCTCATGACACAATTATATATCCTTTGAAAAGTACAAACACCAACCTAAGAAACATACACCAATTTTAAATTTTTTGTTTTTCATTTATACTACGGAGGTAAAAAAGCAGATAGAAATTTTCTGATGTACTATTTAGGTCAGCCCCTAATAGTTAAGTTGATATAAGAGGAGATACCCGTATCGTCCAAGTAAGGATAAAACTTTTTATAAATGGAAATGACATCATTGCTCAATCTCATGCATATTACTCAATAGTTTCCTATAACCGTCACCTACAAATGACCATACTGCATTTTCCTAACACGTAATTATATACCTTTATGTGTGACTGTTACTATTTTTTCATATTCTAAACAGCTTTAAAAATCACCACGTGCCTCAAATTCTGCCATAACTCGGCCCACTAATACTCTTTAAATATGACCTTTTTCTTTCTCTTCTGAGCCACCAAAGATAACTGAAACAAACATCGCAGTCACAATCAAATCATGATCAAGCCTTGTTCAAATCTCATAAACTCCTATGTAATTTTTTTCTTTTCTTTGTGCATAATAGAGTTCTTCTGATATACAAACATAGTTTTGTTCTTAATGCATGTTTGGTCGTAGACCAGTTTTCTTCCATTGCTTTATTCTTTTATATATATGTATGTTGATTATCTCAAGTTTAGGACTATAAAAATTGTCACTTATTTGTGTTTTGTTATTTAGCCAAATTGAAGATTTCGTTTTCATTGGTGTTTGATATAAACTCTGGTTTTGTATAGGTTTGTGGGGTTATATTTGCGGTGCTTTTGTTGGGATCAATAGCAGAATGCAGAGTAACCGTAAGAGTAGAGGATCTTGATTACCCTGCTATAAATTGTAGAAAACACAGTGCAGTTCTAACAGATTTTGGTGGTGTTGGTGATGGAAAAACATCAAACACCAAGGTTTTTCAATATGCAATCAGCCATCTCAGCCAGTATGCATCTGATGGTGGAGCTCTACTTGTTGTGCCACCTGGGAAATGGCTAACTGGAAGCTTTAATCTTACTAGCCATTTCACGCTTTTCCTCCATAATGAAGCTGTCATTCTTGCATCTCAGGTATTAAGTCAGTGCCCCCCTTTATTTTTTTCTCTTAAATTATCAGAATAGTTAATGGCCCTAGTGTTGTAGCAAGTGGTTAATCATGTATTGCTTATTTGAGATGTGATAGAAATTAGAAAATAATACTTATATATAATTGTGAAGTTTATAATATGATTCCTTTTATTTGGATTCATCCAAAGGTAAGGTTGATTTTGATGTGGATATAATATGATTTCTTTTGGTTATGGCACATGTGCCCTTTATTTAACAGTGAAAAATACATTAATTGAAGGTATGTTACAATCAGTTAGTACAATACAATCACAGGAAATTTGGCTACCGAAATATTTTGTCACTAATGTCTCACCTAACTACGATTTTTTGGCACGTTAGTTCACCAGCATTTTACATCAACATCGATAGTTTTCTTTTTCTTTTTCTTTGTTTTGTTTTGGAATTTGATATTTCACATAAGTATTCACTTTCATTGACTATTGGCTAACATTGACAGGATGAATCAGAGTGGCCTTCAGTTCCCGTACTACCATCATATGGCAGAGGAAGGGATGCTCCAGATGGAAGGTTTAGTAGTCTCATTTTTGGAACTAACCTCACTGATGTTGTAATTACTGGTAACTACTAGACCCCATTACAATACCTCTAATATTAGATGTTATTATGGTTATGTCTCATTGGAAATCAATTTTAATGTCACATATTTTGAATTTGTTCGTTTAGGTTACAATGGGACAATTGATGGCCAAGGATCTTATTGGTGGGACAAATTCCACAAGGGTGAACTGAAACTCACAAGGCCATACTTGATTGAGATTATGTTCTCTGATCACATTCAGATATCAAATCTCACTTTGATAAACTCCCCATCTTGGTTTGTCCATCCAATTTACAGCAGGTTTGAAAATTATGTTCACTTGCATTCATGGTTAACCTTGATGCATTATATGTTCTGCTATTCTTATCATGCCATATCTTTTCAGTGACATTATAATTCAAGGGTTGACCATTACTGCACCAATTGACTCTCCCAACACAGATGGAATAGATCCTGGTAATTTTTCTTTTTATTATTATATTATATACTTGTTTCCACTGGCTTTCAATGGAAAACAGAAGATGAAAAGAAAAAAAGAAAAGAGATTAGTTTGAGACAAAATGAATAATATATTATGCACCTAAAAATATCACTCCTGTTAAACCCCTGCTAGTTACGGTAGAGGTGAAAATATTTCTTGTATGAAACCTTACCTTGTATATTTGCAGGCTAACTCTCTTAATAATATATTATGCATTTGTAATAAAAAAAAATGTTAGCTTCCACCCTATTGTAAAGTTTTCAATCTGAAGTAGTTAATATAGTAGCTCTAATGTTATATAATTTTCAATTATTTCCTTCTTTTTACAGATTCTTGTACCAACACTAGGATTGAAGATTGCTATATTGTCTCTGGTGATGATTGTATAGCAGTAAAAAGTGGTTGGGATGAGTATGGAATCAAATTTGGGATGCCAACCCAACACTTGATAATTAGAAGGCTTACATGTATATCCCCTGATAGTGCTATGATTGCTTTGGGAAGTGAAATGTCTGGTGGAATCCAAGATGTTAGAGCTGAAGATCTCACAGCTATCAATACTCAATCAGCAGTTAGAATCAAAACTGCAGTTGGTAGGGGAGCATATGTGAAAGACATATTTGTTAAACGAATGAACTTGAACACCATGAAATATGTGTTTTGGATGACAGGTTCTTATGGATCACACCCTGACCCTGGTTTTGATCCCAAAGCACTTCCTAACATTACTGGAATAAATTATAGAGATGTCATTGCACATAATGTCACATATTCAGCAAGGCTTGATGGAATTCCTAATGACCCTTTTACAGGAATATGTATTTCTAATGTGAATATCCAAAGTGAGGGAAAGAAATTGCAATGGAATTGCACTGATATTGAAGGGGTCACAAGTAATGTCTATCCTAAGCCTTGTGAATTGCTGCCAGAGAAGAAAGAGAAATTTGAATGTCCTTTTCCAGATGACAAACTTCCCATTGAAAGTGTTCAGTTGAAGAATTGTGGTCTCAATCTTCTGAGAAAAAAGATTGTATTTAATTTTTGAGTCTAGTATAGTAGTAACGTTAGTTACGGAAAAATAAAAGAAAATCGAAGTTATAGACCACATGCTATGTTTTTTAAATTCTGATACCGACAATTTTGATCATTGATCCTATTCATATCTAATGATTCTGATGTATTGGATATATGAGCCGTTAATAGAAGCAAATCAATGATCCAGATTTAGTATAAAACTTCTTATTCTTACATTGATATAAGAATAATCTATCCCTTAGAAATAACTTATCTCTGTACAATAACATTTGGCTCAATAAATTATTCTTACTGATTCAGCTCAAGTAACTTATGAAGGAAATATTAAAAAAAATCAGTCAAATTGGTGTGACAATAGCCTGAGGGAACAATATTGTTATATTCCTGCCATTTTTGGTAGTATTTGTTGCTGCTTAGCCTTGCATTCCTCTCTAAATGAGTATCTCCTAATCTTGCTGACTTTGTGGAGAGTGATTGTGCTCACAAGACTCCGTTGCAATTTGATGTTCCTTCAGTGAATGAGGAAGAGGGAATTAAAAAACAGGTCAAAAGTAGTAATTTTCTTACAACTGAAGAATAAGTTGTTCTTACTTCAAAAAGAAGTAGGTTGGTCTCAAGCATGCGAGCAACATCTCCCATTTTGATTCTAGGATTCACATCAGGATCAACACATCTTAGAGCAACCAAAATAACTCGTTTAAGTTCCTTGGAAGAAGGCCTTGCAAGCAATTTTGGATCCAACACATTAGCAATCTTTCCATTGGAAATCATTGATTTGAACCAGTCTACTATAGAATCCTGCAATATGGGATCATGGTAAAATCATTATTTGAAAGATTAGTAAGCAGGAATGAAAACCAACAACAGAGGAATCCAATACTGGTATTGGTACCTGGGGTTCACTATGATCTAAAGGAGTCCTCCCTGATAAAATCTCCATGATAAGTAATCCAAAATCGTAAATGTCATCACCCTCAGTGAAGGTACTAGTGGAATGACATTGTGGAGCTACATAACTGGAGCATGTGAAAATTGATAACTAGTTGTCTCAAATAATATGAGAAAAGAAGAATTTGCATAGAATGCCAATTTATTTCATGAAAGAAAAATAAGTGCAAAAGGTTAACTCCGGTGCACTAGGCTTCCCATCCCCTAAGAGTAGGGGGTGAGGGTCAATTGTACGCCGTCTTATTTTTATCTTTACATTTCTGCAAAGAGAATATTTTCAGATTCAAACCTGTGATCTTCTTATCACAAGAAGTACCCTTACTGCTGCTTGAAGACACACCCTCATTCATGAAAATAAATAATTTGAGTTTTGTCAAGGGAAAAAACTGACCCCAATGCTTCCATTATAATGTGACTCCATTCAGGATTGAGGAGCTTTGCAAGGCCAAAATCAGAGATCTTTGGATTCCATTGGTGGTCCAGCAATATATTGCTGGATTTTATTCTGCCATGGAGAATCTTGGGTTCAACTTCTTCATGAAGGTAAACCAATCTGCATAAGTACTTGTGTTCAGGTAATATAATCAAATTTTTTTTTTACATAAAGTTGAATAGTGTATTTTGATATCTCACCCTTTTGCCACACCATGGATAATGTTTAATCTTCTAGTCCAAGTTAGAGGGCTGATTTGTCCAGGAAATTCATGAAGCCAATGATGTAGATTTCCATTTTCTATATATTCAGATACTGACATCCTGAGAGAGGAAACCTCTAAGTGTTAAATATTTTAATATCTGCAATGATGAATATGAGCAAAACTAGTTTATACCTGTAAGCTCCCTCAGTACAATATCCAAGCAATTTCACCAGCTTCTTGTGCTTTACACGTCCAATTGCCTCAATTCGTGATGCAAAAAATTCCTCAGGTTGGGGACTAAGAATCCGGTAAAAAATTCAAGCCATAATTTACTTGTTTGTCATCAAATTAATAGAGAAATCAAGTTGTGTGAGCCAGTGAAGCAAAAATATAGAACAAAACTGTTTGCCAGATTACTAAGTCAGAATCTTGTTAAATTTTCTTGTTACATTTCTAAGAAACCATATTTCTATCACAAAGCCTACCTAATAAGCACTTTTCTAATACCAATTAAATGGCAAATAACTTTCCATAGAAGAAAAACTTGGAGATTGAATTTAATATGAAAAAGAAACACCATTCATTCACGTACCTTACACACACTAACTTCTTAACTGCCACACGCCTATGATTTGGCAACAAACCAAGATAAACAGTCCCATTATCCCCACTTCCAATAACATTTTCTTTAGCCAATCCATTTGTAGCATCATGAATCATCTTAAGGCTAAAGTAGCCACACCCCTTAACTCTTGATTCCAAACCTTTGAAATATCCATCATCTATAATGCCACTAACATGTGGATAAAACTGGCTAGGTAACACCAACTCACGATGATCTGATAACTTTTCAAAGTTCATCTCAAGTTCTGAGGCATTGCTTGGTGCTGATAGTAACCTCTTGTCAAGTGAGGAAGAGCTTAAAACACCATTGTAGTGCTTGCATGGTATTGATTTAGGTAAAGAAAAACGGGGTTTGTAGGGTTTTCTACGAGGATAGTATATGAACCAAAGGCACAGGATGACACATATCACAACAATGAATGCTGCAATGGAAGCTACTAGCAAAACCCATAATGGGATGCCAAAGAATGGGGTTGATCTTGAGAGCTTTTGTGTCATGGTGAAGATGATGCATTAGAAGACATGGGAAGAGAAAGATGAAGTGTTGCAAGTGTTGTGGTTTTTGAGTTTGATATGGAACAACGTTGAAATTTGAAAATTGAGGCATGTTGTTACTTTGTCAACCCGCTTTTGGCTCCGGGTAAATCTAGTAAATAGATGAACTTGCTTTCGTTTTTAAGTTTTGAAATATTGTTTTATTTTAAATGTTTCATTTGCTAATTAACATGCGAGAGAAGTGGAGAAAAGAGTTGAGATAATTTAGTTTTTCCAATAAATATATCTCTAATATTTAATAACAAGAATTTATCTTACTAACAGCCAAAAAGCTTCTTTATTATTCACGGAAATCCTCCAAACATTGTGTCACTAACAAGTGAGGGTGTAAATCAGTGGGGCGACATGTCAAAAAGCTTAAGGCTTCGTTTTTTTTAAACTTAGCTTCACATGACTTGTATTATAAATAGAACTAGTTCAAGCTTTAAAAGAAGGTTGTTTAGCAAACAAGTTCAAACTTAATTTAACAGGACTTGACTTAAAACCCCATCAGTTGACCCGATATATTATCATAATAAATAATATATTTTTATGTCACTAAATTATTAATCCTATTTTTATATCAAATTGATCATATGAAGGTGCCGATGGACTTTGGGATAAGTGATAAGTTTCTCTCAAATAGCACGAGGTCAGGTAATAGTGCTAATAGGTAGTTTTTTTTTTTTTTTGGTTAGGTGTTGTCAATGAATATTAATTGTTTACCTCTTTGTTCCAATTTGAGAATGAGAATGATGGTGACATGAGATGAGATTCAATTATTTGTCGGGTTTGTTTGGTTATTTTAATAAAGGTAATAGTAACTGTTATTTTCTTTAAGAGAAAAGTTCACCAATGTCCTTGTGGTTTGTTTCAGAATCACCTATACCTGTGTGATTTTTTTTATATTTATCACATATGCCTCTGTGGTTTGTAAAAAGTAAAAAATCACAGGGGTATATGTGATAAAAAACATACCCTTCTGCAAACTACAGAGGCATATGTGATGAAAAAAATCACAGGGACATAGGTGATTTTGGATTAAACCACACGAGCATTGGTGATCTTTTCCCTATTTTTAATATTACAAATTGTTATCACTAAAAATTTTAAAGGTTAGTCTATATTACATGCTTTTCTTAAAATATTCTTCTCCCACATTCTCTATTTCATGAGCTGGATTAATGTTTAAGAAGAAATTGCGGAACTCATTATTCTATATTAAAATATATGTGGGCTAAGTGATTTCTATAATTGTTTTTTCTCTGACGAAGGAATACAAAATTTGATGCATTTATAGTCTCAACATTTGAATGTATGTGAGTTTGGAAAAAATACATTTTATAATTACAAATGAGTCAAGCCAAGCCTTTAATTTTTTTTTTATAAACAAGCCAAGCAAAGCCATGTCTAGAATTTAGCTCGTACCAAGCTAATGAGCCAAGCCAAGCTCAAACTATTTTTTTATAGACTTGGCTCGTTTAAGCTAAAGTTTGACTCGACTGAGCTCATTTACCCCCTACTAAGAAGAGGTTACAAAATTTGATTTACCTATAACGCATGCAAATTTTAAAAAATTGGATATTTCAACCCAAGAGGTCGTTTTTGGGTATGGGAAAAAATAGAGTATTTTAATAAAATTTATTATATAAAGAGGAAAGTAAAATTTTTAAAATACTCTAAAAATAAAATTTGAATCTCAAAATGACGTCATTTTGAAATTGTTTGAGATAATTTTATTTATTGTTACATGAGAAATATTCTTTTTCACACACACACACACATATATATATATATATATATTTGAGAGTACAATAATTTTTTATTTTATTTTTATTTAAAGAATGTTATGTGCTTTTCATAAAAAATTTATTTTAAATTCAATTTTTCTTTTAACTTAATTATGTATATCACCCTTTTGCATTTGAAATATTTTCTCTTTGCCTTGCAATGCAAGAGATACTTAGTCATTTATGGTTTTAATGTTTGTCTTACATATACAGGCTTTTTGACCCTTTTGCCCCTCATTAATTAATTAATAACCAATTTTCCCCTCCCCAGAACTATCCACCATCCTGCCCCCATTTAATCGATCAACTTGCACTTTTAGTCGACTAAATTGACAAAATACAGAAAACATGAAACACTAAATTTAATCGACTACAAATTCAAGTTGATCGATTAAATTTCATGGACTTTTAATCGACTCAAATCATTATGTAGTCGATTAAATTACGCAGAAAACCCTATATTGCTTTCAATTCAAATTAGTAACTGATGACGCTTATTGTTTAGCCAATGCCGTGAATTGAACTTTTCCACTAACTTGATGACTTTGGTCTAAACCATAGCATAACAGGTCAAAATTTTCCATAGAAACTCATAACAATCACTAATATGACCCTAAAATGAATTCACCAAGTTTCGGGGACCCTAAACAAACGGTTTCCATCAATACATACCCAACAATGCATACGAATGGACACGATACTTTTTTGTACCCCAAATTGCTTTCCCCAAGTCATAATGAGCGTGTACATTAGTGTACAATCAGAGCCAAAACAAAAAAATTCGAGGAAACCAGAACAGGTGCCAAAACCAGTTATTTAGTCGATCAACCTGAACTGGTTTAATCGACTACACTGTTTAGTCGATTAAACCATACAGGTTGATCGACTAAATAACTGGTTTTGGCACCCCATTCTGTTTTCCTCGAATTTTTTTGTTTTGGCTCCGATTATACACTAATGTACACTCTTATTATGAGTTGGGGAACACAATTTAAGGTACAAAAAAGTATCGTGGCCGTTATAGTGCCTAAATGTACACGTATTGGCTAAATCTTGGTTTAGGATGCCCGAAACTTTGTAAACTCATTTAACTCTCTTATTAGTGACTATTCTGAGTTGCTATGGACAATTTAGACCTGTTGGGCTTTGGTTAGACCCAAATTGATAAAGTTCACCGAAAAGTACCATTATTCGTTCATTCCCTAAACATTGAAAATGGCATAAATAAGTATCGTGGATTTTGACAACAAACTTGATAACATTAAAAAGTTCAGCCCCTCATCATAATACAAACCATAAACACAAATGTCAAATAGGAAGACTGAAGTCAATTACATAACAACATAAACTATAAACGTCAAATAAAAACATAAACCCTAAATCTAATCCTCCTCCTCCTCGGACGCCGTCTCCTCGTCATCCTCATCTGACACATGAGCCTCTTCCCCTGCAACATCCTCAACCTTCTGTCCTCGTGCAAGCTCTAGACGAGCAAGCCTATCTTCAACACCCTTGAACTTCCCTGTATGTGTCTAAACCTTTCATTCCCTTTCTGGATGTGACTCTTCCTCCAATTTTTATGTTTCAGCGCCATTTTTCCTATCTTCTTCAGCGTGGCGCATATGCCCTTCATGACATCACGCAATGAAAACCCACCCTCAAGCTCAGCTATATCCTGCAAGTCAGTCTCATCATCCTCGTCATCATCATCCTCCACCTCGGGCTCAACCATGTCTGCATGTGGAGCAACATCAGGAACCTCAGCATCAACCATGCCTGTGAACTGCCACACACCCGCCCTGTTCTTTGTCATCTTGCATTGCTCCAGTAGACGCTTTCTGAACTTGCAATTATACCATGTGGTCTTCTTCAAGGTCACATTGTCCATGGGAACACCAAAGTGAACCAATATCTTCTGTACCAAACAAGCAAATGGAAGTGCACCCTTGTGTTTGGCCTTATACATCATCCAACAAATGTAGTGCCTCCAGTTCACCATGACACCATGTCGGATAGCCCACATGATGGGAATGTCATTTTCCAACACCCTAGAATGATTGAAAGCTCGCGGAAACAGAATGTGGGTGATGACATAGTGTAGTATACGAGACTCCACAGTAAGCAACCCCACCGCATAGTGAATGTTATGCCCACAGATTTCAGGCCTACTCTGCTCCTACACGGCATCACCTCGTGTATATCCTGGAAGTGTTACGCTGCTATCTGCGTCATATTGCACAGCCTGCGAAGAATCAAAATCATAGCCCAGTATCTCCAACCATACCGGAGTCGTCACGATGATCTCTACCCCGCAGACCTTGGACCTCAACTCACCTTGTACGTAGCTGAGGTTATGGTAGAAGGCCCGCACCAGCAGCTCTGAATATGGACACAACATTTCAGCCAAAACCCTAAGATGTGATCCCCCCAACAACGCCACAATGTTAAATCCCTCCGCTGCAAAAAAATGTTGTATCAAGTGATTTCGGAGGACATAAGGCTCGGTTCAAATGGTCACGGACAAATGCATCGTGAACCGAGGGGTCATGCTCGAACAAGTATCCGAATGGGAGGTCGACAGGAGTAGGCTCTTCCTCTTGTGCCCTAGACGAAGACGGCCGGTCTTGTCGTTGCTTCGTGCGTATCTCATTTTCTACATTATCTGATCTTCTACGGCCAGCCATGTTTAACAACCGTACTTGCAATGCAAGTGGAAACAATATCAATAACTCGGACAATAGCAATTTCAAAACTTTTCAAAATTCAATATCAAAATCAAAACCCTAACCTAACCCTAAACATAAAATAGAAAACATAACCCTAAACCCTAACAAAAAAATACAAACCCTAACCCTAACCCTAACAAAAATAGAATTCATAACCCTAACCCTAACATAAAACATAACCCCTGCCTCTAACCCTCACATCAAACTCAACACCATACCCCTAACATAAAGCCACAAAAACTCAAACAACCTTCTACCATAAAAAAGAAAATAAAAAAAACAAAAACAATATCATGGAGAAAAAAAAAAAAAAAAAAACTTAAAACCAAATGCAAGTCAGAAAACGTTACCTACAATGTCAATTTCATAAGGTGTAAACCAAAGATGGTGCAATCGGACCTTCAAGGGGATGAGATTCGGACTTGGTTGAAGAGAGGGTATGTTGGGGCCTTCTTAATCGACTAGGGTTTGAAAATAACCCCCTTTGCGAAATGGGTTTTTTTTAAAAAAAAACCTGTTCTACGTAATTTAATCGACTACATAATGATTTGAGTCGATTAAAAGTCCACGAAATTTAATCGATCAACTTGAATTTGTAGTCGATTAAATTTTGTGTTTCATGTTTTCTGTATTTTGTCAATTTAGTCGACTAAAAGTGCAAGTTGATCGATTAAATGGGGGCAAGATGGTGGATAGTTCTGAAGGAGGGGCAAATTGATTATTAATTAATTAATGAGGGGCAAAAGGGTCAAAAAGCCTACATATACATGGTAACGGGTAGAGTCTATTTTTTCTTTTTCTCATACGATTATTCATAAGAAAAATATTTAAACCCTTTGTTTATGTAATTTATAAGCTATGAGTTTCAATAAAAAAAGACAAGATAAGGAAAATACTTTAAAATGACAAAAAAAAAGTGCAAAATATATTTAAGAAAAATTAATTTGAATTATCCGAGACGAAAAAAATTGTAATACATTTGAGTTTATTTGAATTTTAAATTATAGGAGTCCAAACTTCATTTGTAATGCTTTGTATCCAACAATTTATGGTCCATTTTATTTTCGACGTTATTTTTGACAAGGGAATTTCACATCGATTTTATTTGTTTTCTTTTAATTTTTTAACGTTATTATAAAATCAATTATCATCTTAAATTTTCAATAATTATATTCTCTTCAAACAAATATATAATATTTTTAAATTTATTTTTACTTATTATGTATTTTATTCAGTAAATGAGTTTTTGTATTGTCTCATCCAATGTTGTTAAAATCGAGATTTTAAGTAAAATCGGAAGAGGATTAAAAAATCGTAAAACGTAAAATCGTAATTTAAAAATCGTAAAAAATAAAAAAAACGTGAAAGCATTTAGAATATTAGTAAAATTGTTTTGATGAATTTTTTTTCATAAAAACGTAAAACCGTAGTGATAAATCGAGATTTTAACAACAATAATTTCATCGACATGCATATTTCATTACACTGAGATACATCTTGTAATTCTATTTTCTTTCTTACCAATTTATTGATTACCCAACTAGTTTGACTAGTTTAATTCAAGCATGGTCAAATTCATATAGGGTATGCTTTCCGAAAACTATTTTCTTCATTCACGAGACTCTATCTCCCTATCACTAATGAAAAATAACAAGCTCCTTATCCGTTTGGATCAATGATTTTTTAAACATTGACCATTGCTTTGAATTGAAGTTTCGAAATATTGGTTTTATTTCAAGGGTTATGTTTATCTCATTGTACATGAGATAAATAACTTTTCTATACAAAAAAAAAGATTAGGTCTGACTACCCTTTTTTCTCTCTCTTCTTATCTGTGGGTCTCACTTATAATTTTAGTTCTACAATATGAGATAACTACATACCTACAACATAAGAAAAATATTTCTCTTATTTCAAATGTCTCACGTGCTAACTAATACACTGGAATAATGAGAACATGAGTTATCACTAACGAGAATTAATTAATCCAAAAAGCCTAATACATGCTGCATCTTGCATCCTGAGCAAAGAAAGAAGAGGTACGGTGACAAAGAAGGGTTCAAATCTGTGTTTTAAAACTTGGACCCTCCTCCACTCGGTAAAAGTATTGGGTCATTGGTTCAACTGAGTTTACTATTCATATATTAAAAAAATATAACCATATTACTTATATTAAAAATTCACATAAGAAAATTATCAATGAGCTTCAAAAAATAAATTGGTTCTTAATGATAGCAAATATTATATACTTCTAAGCTTCTAACTCTAAACCATATCTTAATATTGGATTAAAATTGCAATGTAAGCTAAATGTACCTTTTGTGCCTTGACATAACACGGATAAATTAAAGGGAAAAGTGTCTATCATTTAAAATTACACAACTTACATCCTTTCACTCTCACAAAGAGGTGGGGCCCACACCTTTATTTTTTTTTGTCAACTCTCTCTCCTCCTTTATCTATCTCTTTCTCTCTCCTAAAATGACACAACTTTACATCCTTTAAAATTATACACACTTTTCCCTAAATTAAATCATGATAACAAATAGTAAGTATGAAATATACACTAAGGAGAAAGTGTTCACCGTTGAGATGAGACCATCAGTATTTATCATCACTTAACTTCTTAAGATCATTATAAGATGCAACTAAATTACATAAACGAATTGCATTGATCCAAAATATCTTCTTATTTGCACCTTACTTATTAATCATATTTACCACTAACTATAAAAATGATTTAATACAAGAGTTTTCATCAACCAAAAAAAATACCAAAAAAAAGAGAGAGAGTCAACCGGGTCACCGAGTCACCAGGTCTCGGCCGGGTCTACCGGTCCAAACCGGATTGATTACACAACTGGTCCAAATTAGGGGTGTTCGCGGTCTGGATTGGATCGGTTTTGGAAGAAAAACTCATCCAATCCAATCCCTTCGGTTTGATCATGTAATCATCCATTTAGTTTATATTTTTTTTCAAATCCGATCTGATCCAATCCAATTTTTTCGGTTTGGATTGGATCGGTTTTCGGTTTTTTGAATATCTTAAAATTAGTCTCGTGATTATTGTGCAAATAACATCTTTTATATATATTGGCTTTGTAAAAAAAAAAAATTGAAATACAAAAATATCAGTAAACATTAATACAGTTGATGAGACGTGACTAAGTTTTTTCTTGGGTTTAGTTGATGAGTTAATGAGTTTTGAGTTTAGAAATTTTTGGACTATGATCGGGGAAAGGACAAGTAGGTAGAGGATAATTAATATATTGGATCGGTTTGGATTGGATCGGTTTTTATCAATCCATCCAAAAATCGATCCAATCCAATTAAAATTTGCGATTTTTTTTTTTCAATTTTTCGGTTTTCGGTTTATTCGGTTATCGGTTTTTCGGTTCGGTTTTCGCGATTTGAATCGGTTTGGATCGGTTGATGAACACCCCTAGTCCAAATGACCACTCGAACCGGGGAACCACTAGGTCACCGAGATCTGGGTCGACCCAGCCGGTCCGAGCCGATTTTTAAAACACTGATTCAAACTATTCTATACGCAATAACTGTATAAAACAAATTTTAAAACATAATGGACTATAATAAAAATTAGTTAATGTTATTTACTATATTATCTTTTGTAGTATATCAAAGAATAAAACTAATATGCCAATAAATACTGTAAAAATCAATAATTTAATTTTTTTTCGTAATTTTGTAATTTTTCTATTTTTATTTATTTTGTATAAGAAGTGTTAAAATCAAAATTTCATTCAAAAAATTAATATTTTGTGATATTTGTATGAGTTAATATTTATAAAGGTGATGGAGAATGATAAATAAAATATATAAAATTTACATTACCTATTGTATTATAAACATTATAAAATATGTTATAAAATTATTGCAAATATAAGAGAAAGAAAGAAGAAAAAAACTTAGAATCAGTAGTAGAAAAGGCTCGATTATCTACAGATTTATTTTACGAAAAATATTTCGTCAAAAATAAAAACAGAAATATTTTCCACCAAAAATAGAGATGAAATTAGAGAGGGAAACGTTTCGGTTGCTATCAGTAATGAATATAAAATTAAGGACTTTGACTTGACTATGGAAAAATAAAGCACATCTTTAAGAAGAAAACCTTGAATCTTAAATATTATGTTCAACGGAAAAAATTATTTGTACTGAATACTACATCAAACAGCAAAAAAAATACTTCTCTTGGAAGAGTTTTATCAAATTATTAAAATATTCATAGATAGCCTTTCCTGTGGACACGCCGCCACCACAATGCATAATACAATATAGTATCTACACATCAATATATGGTGAACCCAGAAGTCTCAATTTGTGATAACACTAGCAATTAAAGAACTTAACCACTAAAGCCATCCATTCTTTTTTTTCCATTTTTTGGGGGTTGTATTTCCATTCTTTTTCAGTATGACTCTCAAATTACCTTTGTTCTACACTTCCCCGTTACTTACATCCTCTGCACGATCATACAGAAGGACTGATTGACCTCTCTCATTGTATATTGCCTTAATAAAATTCTTGATCTGCTACATAAGAATGATACTAGAAAGGTTAAGGTATTCTCTCAACTGAATATATTTAGAAAATGACCATGCCATAGTAACATTTCTAAAACTAAGTTTAGCTCCCAATTCTTCCAGATAGATATCAAAACTAATGCAGAAACAGCTAATATCATGTAAAACTGAAAGGCCTACGCAAGCAGAGCTGTTCAACGACCCCTTCTTCAATTGGTTTCTTTATAGGAGAAACCTTGATTTCATACAGCTTTGGCCACAGTTTTCCGGTCACTGCAAGCAAGACATAGATTACATAAACTTACTAAACTGGAAATGGAAAGGGGAAAGCAAGAAAATTAGCTTTCATTTATTAATGCTTACTAGGAAATTCCTAAAGGAAAAGGAATGTTTAACATTTTACCTGTTCCTGGCTAATTTATTAAACTCTGTATTCTTATGCATACCATTTTAACATTTATTAGTAAAACATAATAGTTGGATTCTGCAGTCAGGTCACTTCCATTTTCATCCCAATTTTTATCGGATGTCATGCTAAATAATAATAATAATAAGTGTTAGATGGATGGAATGGAACGATATGTTTGAACAACAATATAATAAACTAATAACTGGAGCTTACCAAAAATCCGCTCCCGCTCCCGCTCACTATCCCATGCTATCCCATTCAAAACATCAATAGCCTAAAATATAAAAGATGTACCCATAAGCAATTAATAATGTGCAACAGTTAATTGCAACAGTTACCTCTAATGACAAGTTGATCTCGAAACAGGAATAAAAGATTTTTCACTGTTTAAAGCACCCTTTTTTTACCCTATTTTTAAATTATTGCTGCACAATAAAAATGTAAAATGTACACACTGAATAATAGGACAAAAATCTTATCTCCAAATATCAAAAGGCTGAGGTTCCTTACATTATTCCCAGCTTCAATAAGTTCTTTCCTGCATATTATAAAATTAAATGTAACTTTAAGCAACAAATGGACAAAGATAATTATTAGGGAAAACCCCTACTTTAGTCCTCAAAAGATTATTACATCAAGTTGGCCCTCGAATGTTAATTTTTTGGCATCAAAATAATCCAAAAAAAAAAAAAAAAAAAAGAAGATCATCGAGAACCAATTTAATGTTTCTAACCTTTCGAGGACCAAATTAAGGGATTTACTTTACTTATTATGTCATTGACATACACATAAGCATTAAGTAATTAGTTTGTATGCAGAGAAGGAAAAAGAAGCCATACCTTAAATTTTGGAGGAGAATCCATCCAAGAACACCCCCATCATTGGGAGAGATTCTTACAATGCAGTCAGTCTACACAATGAAATATCAAACTCAGAGTCCAGTATAACAGAGAACCTTGGGCCACAGACATCATGCATAATTGCATACATGGCTAATATTTGTCTTCATTTTGCAGAATTTTAGGGAAAGAGATTATTTTATCCAAGTACAATCATAGATGAACATGCAAGGACATACCAGATAAACATTTGCCCAAACTTCACCATTTATATATTCCAATTCATTGAGATTGTGTACTTGATGACCCTTATAGTAGACAACTTGTTTTGACACAGCTATATCAATGAGGGCAAGATAAATTCCGTGAAAATGCAAGGAAAACAAAGTATTGTCAAGTTTGAAAGCTGAAGGGTTTGGAATACAAATGGTAAAAGGAAAGGAATAAAATTTCAATTAAGAGACAGACCTTTAAATGTTTGAGGATCAAGTTGATACAATGTTGAACTGCCATCACTTCCAAACAAGACTTTTCCATCAGTTGCCAGACCCCAACCATCATTCATCTCATGATTAAATGTCCCTAGCTGCATAATATATTTATATAATTATGCAGAATAATAAACAGATTGCAAATTCAAAAAGTAGGAGCTACTCAAACCAATACAAAGACAAAAGATTACGAGTGCAAGGTAAAGGAACAAACTTTGCTTAAATTTTTTTGGTCATATATGAAACCAGTTTTCTGCAACCATGTTACTTGGAGCAGCCTACAAAATGTGCAACAGATAAAGTAAACGCAACTATCAAATGTAAGGGGAAAAAATAGTGATTAATGACTCAATATCAAGTGTTTAAGCCAAAAGCACATTATATCTAGATAGACTTAAAGTAAACATCCCCTACAACATCCAGTAACAACGGAATAAAATTGCAAGATTGCAGAAAATCAGGGAGTTACTATGCAGTTTTAATGTCTAGCAACCAAAATTGGCAATCAATTGGTCTTTTCCATCTCCCTATGCACCGAAAGTAGAACCATTGTTTAAGTTTGGTGATCTACATATAAGAACAAAATGCAACATAATTTGCCTTGCACACCTATTATTGAGGAGAGTTAAACCTTCCCCAAATAAAGAATCATCCATCTTCTGAAGATCCTCAACCTGCATGTAGCACAAATTATCAATATATGAAATTTACATAAATTCCATAATATCTGTCACAAAACAACTCTCCCGAAAGATTAAGTTGTCGGGGGTGAAGGCATATAAATGGTTTTATTATGTCATTAATAGATTTATATCTAACATTTTATTATATCTCTAAACATATCCTCTATGACCAATGGGTTCAAAGTTCGATCTTGCTGCCCCAATCTTCTAATAAAAAGAAGTTGAGTTTCAATACAAGTTAGGTGGGCCTATGTACATTGTCCATTTTCAAGCCCAAAGGGATCTTGTATGAGGGGGTCTGTTAGATATAATATAAATTTGTTAATGATAAAATAAAACCATTTATATGCCTTCATCTGATAGCTTCAGCTTTTGGGAGAGTTGGTTTGTAACAATGTCGAATATTATATCGTTCATAATAAGCATGCTACATTGATATGAACAATTCCTACATAAATACATCTGTACCTTAATGGAAAGGTCAAAATTCTAATTGCAAATACCCTAGTGGCATAGCAAAAATACATCTTACATATATGGTTTATTAAGTTCTTTTTCTTGGAGTATATCCAGTAGTGTTAAAGAAAAGATCTGTCAGCAAGATCAAAGGAAGAAAAGATAAATACAAACAAATTCTTAAATGCATTCTCTAAGTTCATTTCTTTATTATTTTACATCACATGTGATTGACCAATCTTCTTAGTAATAATCTCTTGAAATTATGAGGCATACCTTTAAAATCTCCCTTTTGAGAAATGCCAGTATCTATTATTACCACTATTTTGTTTGTTAACTCACCAGCACACTACTGTTTTTAAACCTGTGATTTGTTAGTATATGGATGTCCTAGAGACAATCTTTTGATTAGATTAGGACATATGTGGACCTTTTTATATTGTCGCAAATAAATAAAAAGCACTCTTTATTCTGTTTCATATTTTGTCTCAATATTAATGTTAATATATTATATGAGTAACTGGATAAACCCCTTGGAATAAAATAGGTATCTATTGAGTATCTGTGATGAGATCACGATCATGAGGATTTAAGGATACCGGATGTTTATTCCTAATTTTATGTTCTAGTCTAGAGACACTGAGAATGGGGATCAGTAATCTCGGATAAGACTAGCACGACTTATCTACTTGTATTCAGATACAAGGTAAAGACCTCATGAGCTACAGATATGGAGATGTCTTAGCTAAAGTCGTGGGTGGACCTATAAGGATATAGCTCGCACTGAACAGACCCACAAAGAGACTCTATGCGGAAATCTTACAAAAGTATCTGTAAAGAACTTTGGGATACACCACCCCAAAAGCTAGCTCAAAGGGTGGGAGTGCCCAAGGCCTTATAAACTCCACATTAGTTGCACATAAAACCAATGTGGGACTATATATCTCAACACGCCCCCTCACGCAAGAGCCCTTTGGGATTGAAGCGTGGATTGCACAGGCCCAATTTTTGGTTTACCTTTTGTGCTTTTTATTTTTAATTCCACTTTAAAGTGGGGGGCGGTGAGGATCGAACCTCAAGCTCTGATACCATATTGAAAAGAAGTTTTGTATATTGATATTTAATAATTTACATGAGTGAGTATTTATACAAGAAAGAATCGCTAAGAATGACTAAGCGATGACTAATCAATCCTAATCACAATCAATTCTAATCAATCACAATCAATCCTAATCAATCATAATCAATCCTAATTAATAGGAAATAAAAACGGAAACATGTTTGAATTCTGATTTTCTACACTCCCCCTCAAGTTGGGAGGTAAATATTGATCATTCCCAACTTGCCAATCAAGTCTTTGAATGCTGGACGGTGTAGGCCCTTGGTAAGAATATCTGTCGTTTGCTCTTTGGTTGGAACATATATCAAACGCACACTTCCATCATCTAATTTTTCTTTGATGAAGTGACGATCAACTTCCACGTGCTTTGTTCGATCATGATGCACAGGATTTTGAGCAATGCTAACAGCTGCCTTGTTGTCGCAATATAGTTTTATTGGTAGGGAATATGAAATCTTCAACTCTTGAAGAAGTCTTCTCAACCAAATTCCTTCACAAACTCCATGAGCTAAAGCTCGAAATTCTGCTTCAGCACTACTTCTTGCAACCACTGTTTGCTTTTTGCTTCTCCAAGTAACAAGATTCCCCACACATAGGTACAATAGCTTGAGGTAGATCTCCTGTCTACTGATGAGCCTGCCCAATTTGCATCAGTGTAGATTTCAATTGTCCTTTTATACCCCTTTTTAAAGAATAATCCTCTTCCTGGAGTATTCTTGAGGTATCTAAGCACCCTATAGACTGCACTAAGATGCTTCTCCTTGGGTGAGTGCATGAATTGACTAATCATACTCACCGCAAAGGCAATGTCAGGACGCGTATGAGATAAGTAGATTAGTTTACCAACCAATCGCTGATATTGTTCTTTATCCACCTCATTCCCATCTTCAATACCTAACTTGGTATTAGGTTCCACAGGTGTCTCAGCAGGTTTACACCCTAACATTCCTGTTTCCAACAAAAGATCTAGAACATATTTCTTTTGTGTTAGAGTGATGCCTGTTTTGCTCCTAGCAACTTCCATACCAAGGAAATATTTGAGAGTGCCAAGGTCTTTGAGTTCAAATTGAGTTGCTAGAAATTTCTTCAAGGTGTTCAATTCCTCAATATCATCACCTGTAAGAATTATATCATCTACATATACAATAAGAATAGCAATTTTACCATCCTTAGAGTGTTTGTGGAAGAGAGTATGATCAGTCTGTGCTTGAATGAAGCCTCTTCTTTTGACTGCTTGTGAGAATTTGTCGAACCATTCTCTGGGAGATTGTTTCAATCCATATAGAGACTTTTTTAGTTTACACACTGATCCATTTCCCTTTTCAAAACCAGGTGGAGGATCCATATAGACTTCTTCATGTAAGTCACCATTTAGGAATGCATTCTTCACATCTAACTGTTGCAGAGGCCAATCTAGATTGGCAGCAAGAGATAAGAGAACTCGGATGGTATTGACTTTAGCAACCGGAGCAAAAGTCTCATGATAATCTATCCCATGAGTCTGAGTGAAACCCTTTGCAACCAATCTTGCCTTGTATCTGTTGATGCTATTATCTGCATTGAATTTTATTGTAAACGCCCATTTGCATCCTACTGCCTGTTTTCCTTTGGGTAGGGTCACTATCTCCCAAGTTCCATTTCTTTCTAAAGCATTCATTTCTTCAAAGACAGCATCCCTCCATTTTTTATCATTGAGAGCCTCATGTATATTTCTCGGTATCTTTGTACTATCCAACATAGTATTGAAAGCACGAAACCCTGGGGACAACTTTCCGTATGAAATATGATTAGAAATAGGATGAGTAGTACAAGATCGAGTACCTTTTCTGAGAGCAATGGGCAAGTGTAGATCATTTTCACCATGACACTCAAGTATTGGGGTGCTGGAACTAGAACATGGTTTAGAATCCTGGCAGTGTAGAGGCTCTGGGTTATTCACACTTTGAGGAGGCTTTCGCCTGCTATAAACTTGTCCCCATTTTGAGGAGGCTCTTGATGGTGAGGATTCTGTAGCTCCCCCTGTTTCCAAAAATAGAGGTAATACTGTGGCATCAGTAGGTTCCCATGACTGATCTTCATCTACTCCTATAGACTCCCCTTGAAGAGAAGTCGAGGGGAAGAAAGGGTCATTCTCAGAAAAAGTGACATCCATAGAGACAAAGACCTTACGAAGAGAGGGTGAATAACATTTATAGCCACGTTGAGTAGGAGAATAACCAATAAAGACACACTGAAGAGACTTAGGATCAAGCTTAGACCGTTGATGGGAGGGAATATGGACAAATACAACGCAACCAAATAACTTGAGAGGTAAGGAGGAGACACCTCGGAAGGAAGGGAAGATACGAACAAGACTAGAAAGAGGAGACTGAAATTTCAGAATGCGAGATGGCATTCGATTTATCAGATACGAGGCAGTGAGAACTGCCTCTCCCCAAAGATATTTAGGAACACTCGTGGTAAACATAAGAGCCCGAGCAACTTCAAGGAGATGTCGGTTTTTTCTTTCCGCAACTCCGTTTTGTTGGGGTGTGTCAGGACACGAGCTTTGGTGAAGAATGCCATGTTGGGAAAGATATTCTCCAAGAATAGAGTTAAAATACTCTTTGCCATTATCTGTACGAAGAATTTGTATAGCAACTTGGAATTGGGTTTGAACCATGGCATGAAATTTTTTAAACACGGATGCAGCATCGGACTTATCCTTTAGAAGATACACCCAACAGACTCGAGAATGGTCATCAATGAAGGTAATGAACCATCGAGTACCTGAAATATTTTTAACACAGGCTGGACCCCATATGTCACTATGAATTAAGGAAAATGGGGAAGAGTCATGGTGAACTTTAGAAGGATAATGAGCACGAGTATGTTTGGCAAGTTGACAAATATCACAAGAAAACAAACTTGGACTTTTATTAATAAATAAGTTGGGCAACAACTTCTAAAGATAAATAAAATTTGGATGGCCTAGCCTACGATGCCACAGCATAACATCATTACATGAATCAAAAGGAAACATAGAGTTTTTTTCTACAAAAACAGCTTCATGAGTCACATCCTCCTCAAAATAGTAAAGTCCACCATCCTCTCTAGCACTGCCAATCATCCTCTCCGAGTCCTGTTCCTGAAAAACACAACCATGTGGAAAGAATTTAGCAAAGCAATGCAACTCAGAGGTGAGCTTGCTAATGGAAATGCGATTACAAGTCAGAGAAGGAACATAAAGAACTGATGTCAAAGTAATCAGCTCAGAAAGTTTAATGGTTCCGTGTCCCGCAATCTGGGAAAAACTGCCATCGGCGATCTTGACCCGAGAAGGTTCAGAATATGGAGTGTATAAACAAAACAAGCCAAGATTACATGTCATATGATCAGAGGCTTCAGAATCAAGGATCCAATGATTTTGACTATCAACATGGAAAGTTGTACCTTGCTGGACCACATGACTAGTGGCCTTAGGAGGTTGAGTCAAAAGTCTCTGAAGTTGTTCAAACTGAGTCTTGCTAAGAAAGACACCATCAGAGTCAGAGGATGCATGAGGCTCATCAACCTTGTCATCAATAGAGACCTGATATGCACGACCTTTATTTTGTCCTTTGGGCTTCCAATTTGCAGGTTTCCCGTGGATTTCCCAACATTTCTCACGGGTATGACCAATTTTATTGCAGTGGGTGCACCATGGACGACCATCCCGTTTTGATTCTCCGGAGGAACGGTCAATGGTACGGTTGGCAGCTAATGCAGACATATCATCAGGCTTATCAAGTGACTCCTTTTCTCCCAGCATAACTCTCTGTCTACTGGCTTCTCGACGAACTTCAGCAAAGGCGTCAGCAAGTGAAGGTAACGGTCGCTGCCCCAATATTCGACCACGAACCTCATCAAGATCTCGGTTGAGTCCGGCAAGGAAATCATACAGTCTTTCCTTCTCCAAGTGTTTTTTAAATTGGGTATTAGATTCCAATCCCTTAAGATCATATGCATAATAAAGATCCAATTCCTGCCATAAATTCGTTAGTGCAGTAAAATATTCAGTAACAGTCATACCCCTTTGACGAAAGTCTCTCAACTTATTTCTCAGTTCAAAAACTTGAGAGGTATTCTCCAGATCGGAGTAATTCTGTTGAACAGCATCCCAAATTTCCTTGGCAGTATCAAAGAACAGATAGGTTTGGCCAATCTGTGGTTCCATGGAATTAGTCAGCCAAGCCATGACCAAGGAATTATTAATTTCCCAATCGTCATAATCAGGAGAATTCTCAGTAGGTTTCTTAATTCTTCCCTCAAGATAGCCCATCTTACCCTTTGCCCGAATGACCAACTTAACTGATTGAAATCATCGCAGAAAATTCTTACCGTTCAACCGGTGATTGGTGATCTGCAAACCTAAGTTGTCTCCAGAGGACTGAGAATTTGGGGCAGATGAGGAGGCAGAAGAGTGTTTTGAGGAAGCCATGAATAGAAACAAAAGGGTTGACCATTGATGAAAAATCAAGTTTTGTAAATTTTTGATCTGACCTCTGGAACAGGAAGGGGAGAAGCCGGCGAGAAGGTCTGTGCAAGTCGCGGCGGAAAAAGACGTTGGGAAGGCGGCGCGTGGAGCTCACGCACCGGAGACTGGCCGCGCGTGTGACGGCGTGTGGCGGCGCGTGCGGCGGTTGACGGCGATGGGTCCAGCGGCGGTCGACTCGTCGGATCCTTCTGAGTCGAATGGTCACCTCACTTTCTTGATCGGAGGTCAGTAGACTAGGTTTCTGTGTTGGACAGATTCAAGGAGGTGTTTGACGGTGATAGAAGTGTTTGGATGGTTATTTCAGATTTGAATTAGGGTAGGAACGAACCTCAAGCTCTGATACCATGTAAAGAACTTTGGGATACACCACCCCAAAAGCTAGCTCAAAGGGTGGGAGTGCCCAAGGCCTTATAAACTCCACATTAGTTGCACATACAACCAATGTGGGACAATATATCTCAACAGTATCATTAGAGCAGTCTCTTAATATTTGGGTATGTCTTTCCTTAGACCATAAGTTGTCACCTAGACTGTGTTCTAGAAGGCATGTTTTGATTGTATACCTCGTCTGCCTGAAACATGGAGACTCATAGGTATACTTTTGGACATGTCCTGAAAGAGCACAGGCCTAGAGTGATAAGCTGAAGGAATTCGTCAAATCTCTGTAAGGGATTAGGTTATCTGTAAACCGGAGAAATCGGGATGACATTTACAGGACTCGGGAATCAATGCATAGTAAAAGAGATCATGAGATGATCTGCCTTTAGAGTCAGTAAATTGAAGATTCCTTATTCCGAATTAAAGCTTACCCTAAACCGCAAGGGTTGATACACTTCCTCACCCTAGGTTTAAAGGGAAGGTAACCGAAACGAAAGGAAATACATACGACAACCAAATATGTGTAATAGGATGATCAAGTCATTAATCTAACTAGTTCTGGGGCAACAAAGCATTGCTAGTGCTCTGTGTTGTCATTAAATGGGTTGTGGGCTTGTTGGGCCCGAGCCGATTTATGTCAGTGGCTATATGTTGGACCTAATGGGTCACACACTAACACCTTATTGTCATGATGATCTAGCACTAAAGGTATTGGGCCTAATAATGGTTGTTAGCCCAAGAAGAAGTTTGGAAGCCCACCTAAAAGGGAAAAGGGCGCATGGATCATGTAGTGGGCTTGGATGGTCCAAAACATTACTAATTAATTTAATTAGTTAAATTAATTATCAAATATTTAAATTTTGAAATTTGAATTTGAAATTTGAATTTTGAATTTTGAAATTTGAATTTTGAGTTTAGAATTTAAATTTTGAATTTGAATTTTGAATTTAAATGTTTGAATTTGAATTTGAATTGGCTATGAAAAGTTGTTTCATAACAAAAGGATAAGATAAGATCTTGTTGGAACAAATCCCTTGTATCAAGAGGAGATCTTTGGAGATCACCAAGGGCTGTTTGGGGCGCTGAATTGGTGTGATTATAAGTGTCATCTAGTCAACCAAATAAGCTCCAATCAGATTTGGTTGGTTGAGAGAATCAGTGAGTGAGTTGGTTCAAATTTGAATGCAACTGCTCAACGTATCTGGACCCCTTTTGGGGCTGAATGGGGCGCATAGATGGCTGGCCATATGATGGCCATTAGGTTAGAATTTTGACTAGATAAAGATCTAGTCTCATGAGGATTGTATGGTAGGTTGTTGGGAATTTTGAATTGCAACAACTCCACCCTTTCTCTCCCTTTATGTGCGCCATTTGTGATCAGAATTTGGAGAAGAAAATCTGATTGCATCCTTGCTTCCTATCATCCTTTTGGTGCGCCACTTTTGTTAGGTTTTTCCCTAAGTGTTTTGGAATTAACCTAGCCTTTTCTAAGAGCATCCATGCCCCACTTTTGTGAAGCTTTCATGCTGAAAACTTCACTCTTCTAAACACCTTTACCTAGCCTCCTCCTTCACACATTAGACGCCTAGCAAGCTTTTGTGGTGATCAATTGGTGGCTTTTCAAGAAGAGTTCTTGCATCTTGACGTGGGGTGGTGTGGATTAACGTTAGAGGGTTTGAACCCTTCAAACCTGACACTGATCTCCTTGGTGTTTGAATCACAAACAAAGGTAACATCATGCTGTCTTAAAGCATGAATCTTGATTGCATGTGTTATTCCGCTTGAAAAATTTTGTTTTTCCCTCTCACATGCTTCGACCTTCAAGGTCATTTTTCTTTCATGATTCACAGTCCATCATTATCTACTCTGAAGCCAACTCATGCATATCTTTCTATTCCTTTAATAAATCCCCCACGCCCCTATTAATGTACCTTATACACATAATTATGATGTGCATCTAAACATATTAGTAAGTTCCTCGAGTATATGTTTATCCTTCTTTTTATGAGATATAAAAAAGTGCAATATAAAAAAGTGCAATATGCCTGCAACCTGCATCCATCAAATTAGTAGCCACATTCATAAATTTTGTGGGTGTAACAATAGCAGAAGCTGGGAGTGGGGACAAGCATGAATAATGGGAAAACATATCTAATAAAGAAATCCTTGTTGCCTTCTACAAACACATTAAAAGCATTTTTTTAATAACAAAACCTCAAAAAATAAATAAATAAAGAACAAAAACAAAACAATATAAAAAAGACTGAGTAAATCCATAATAGAAATTAATGTTGTTAATACAAACAAGCCAACTGCAGCAAGCAATCTGACAATGAAACATTGACCTGACTTCCTTGTCTAAAATTGTTCATACGGTACAAAAGTCCATTCAGCATATAACTAATTCTTAACAACTATGCCTATAAACTTGCAATCATAAGTACATACAGAATAACAGAACTTATCTCCAGATTGACCCAACTACATAGTTTTTTTTCCACCAGTAGTTATTCTCATAAATAGATAATAATTGGGAATCAAAATGAACTTAGTATTCAAATAAGTGCATGGAAGATTTCAAGAACCAAGGGACTGTACCTTCCCAGTTCGAAGAGCTACTTTCCGGACAGATGACTGAAACGACAAACAATTAAAAGCTTAAATGTATATACATTAAAAGCAACATTAATTATATGTCTAGGAAAACAAATATTAGAATGTAATTAGAAAACAAAACTAATCATGATTTTCTGAATACATTTTACAATAAATATAAGTTTCAAAATGCTTTGGTCTTATCTAATAGATACCACCAACACTGCTCTGTTTCAATCATCAAGTTTTAGTGAACCTCACAATTTTTTCTTCTGGTAACAAATTGTGGAACCAGCAGTCAAATTGCATCAGTTACACCCAATCCGGAAATTCCACTGCATTATGCAGCGGAAGAAGATCGTTTGAATGATTGAGTCCATTCAGCATACACAGAATTGGAGAACCAAGAGCAAATGTTTCGCTTGTTGCTCCTTTCAAAGCTATCAAAGCAAATCATTAACAACATTCTCGGTGTTTTCCATTTCAGGAGGCTTGGGAGAAAATCCACAAGCACTTCCATGGATTGATGAAATCTAAAGCTCGAAAACTCCGATCCAAGTTGAGTTCCATCTAAAAGGGAGGAAGATGGATTCCAGAGTATCTTTCCAGAATCAAAGCTCTATGTGATGTGCACATGGCGATTGTAAATCCTATTTCCGAGGAAGAATAAATCGAACTCATTCTTAAAGGCTTACTAGTTGAATACAGTTAAATGTAAAAGAATACGTTGTGTATTGATCTGTGTCAGGGAGTTACAATATATAGAGACCCTAATGGGCTTAAGTGTAAGGCCCAAACCTAATCCAAACCTAATCCTAATACAGTCAGAATACAGTCAGACTATTTACGGATAAGACAGAATCCAATCATATCTAATCAAATCTAATCATATCATATCTAATATTCTAACACTCCCCCTCAAGCTGGTGCGTATATATTATGAGCACCAAGCTTGTTACAAATGTATTCAACCCGAGGACCTCTAAGAGCTTTAGTGAAAACATCTGCTAGTTGATTAGACGAGTTGACAAAAGCTGTCTTGATTTCTCCTGACTGAATCTTTTCCCGAATGAAGTGACAATCAATCTCTATATGTTTGGTCCTCTCATGAAAAACAGGATTAGAGGATATATGTAGCGCAGCTTGATTATCACAGATGAGTGTCATGGGTTGTTTCTGTTCACAAAGATGAAGCTCCTGAATCAACTGCTTTAACCAGATCAACTAACATGTAGTATTTGCCATTGCACGATACTCAGCTTCTGCACTAGATCGGAAAACAACAGGTTGTTTCTTGCTTTTCCATGAGATTAAGTTTCCTCCGAAGAAGACACAATAACCAGAAGTAGAGCGTCTGTCCGAGGGTGATCCTGCCCAATCGGCATCTGAGTAATCACAAATTTCTGTATTTCCCTGATCCGAATACAACAAACCTTTTCCTGGTGCTCCTTTGATGTATCGGAGGATCCTCACAGCAGCATCCCAATGTGAATCACAAGGGGAATCAAGGAACTGACTGGCCATACTGACAGCGAAAGAAATATCTGGCCTAGTCACAGTAAGATAATTGAGCTTCCCAATTAGCCTCCGATAACGTCCAGGATCAGAGAACGGCTCCCCCTGTCCGGGTAATAACTTGACATTAGGATCCATAGGTGTATCAACTGGTTTACTCCCCAACATACCAGTTTCTTCTAGGATATCCAAGGCATATTTCCTTTGACAGATAGAAATGCCCTGTCTTGATTGCGCCACCTCAATTCCCAAGAAGTAACGCAGCTTCCCAAGGTCCTTTGTTTGAAATGTACTAAACAAATGCTGTTTTAACTGACGAATTCCGTCTTGATCACTTCCGGTGAGAATGATGTCGTCAACATAGACTAACAAATAGATACACTTATCAGGAGATGTAATCCTATAAAACACAGAATGGTCAACTTTACTGCGGATTAAGCCAAACGCCTGAACAGCAGAACTGAAACGACTGAACCATGCTCGAGGAGACTGCTTGAGACCATATAAGGATTTCCGAAGACGACACACCTTTCCAGACTCCCCCTGAGCAACAAAACCAGGTGGTTGCTCCATGTAATCTTCTTCTTGTAAATCACCATGAAGAAAGGCATTTTTGATGTCAAGTTGAAGGAGTGGCCAGTGACGAACAGCAGCAAGGGCAAGAAAGAGGCGGACTGACGCCATCTTAGCGACCCGAGAAAATGTATCGCTATAATCAAGGCCAAAGATTTGAGTAAAACCCTTGGCAACTAAACGTGCCTTGAGATGATCAATATGGCCATCAGGTCCAACTTTCACAGTAAAAACCCAGCGACAACCAACTATAGACTTCTCTGGAGGAGCAGAAACAAGGTCCCAAGTGCCATTGGAATGAAGTGCAGTCATCTCATCAAACATTGCTTGGCGCCACCCTGGATGGGAAAGTGCTTCACCTGTGGTCTTAGGAATAGAAATAGAAGAAAGACTAGAAACAAAGGTGAAATGAGGTGAAGAAAGACGGTCATAACTCAAAAAGGTATAAAGAGGATAAGGGTTACAAGTAGTACGTGTACCTTTTCTTTGAGCAATGGGAAGAGTCTCTGATGAAGGATCCGGAGGGGAAGAAGCAACAGCAGTGGGCGATGAGTCAGCAAGAGTCGAGTCGACAGGAGGCACAGTTTTGCGACGCTGATAGGTGAGAAGTGGACGGTCCTCAGGTATAGAAGCAATAGGTTGCTCATCTGGAATAGAAGCACCTGCAGCTGGCAAAGACAAGTCAAGAAAAGGGACAGGAAGTACATGATCAACCTGTGACATCTGAGATGGGATAGAATTAAAGGGTTGTTGATCAAGAAAAGTGACATCAGCGGAAACTAAGTAATGCTTAAGGTCGGGAGAATAACAACGATAACCCTTTTGAAGACGAGAATAACCAAGAAAGATACACTGAAAGGCTTTGGATGTTAACTTATCCTTACCAGGAGTGAGATCATGAACAAAACAAGTACAACCAAAAACATGTGGAGTTAGAGGATAAAGAGGAACATCTGGAAGCAATAGATTATGAGGAATGTCATTGTGGAGCACAGATGAAGGCATGCGATTGATGAGAAAACAAGAGATGAGTACAGCATCTGCCCAGAAGTGAAGAGGAACCTGCATATGAATAAGAAGGGTACGGGCAGTTTCAATGAGATGTCTGTTTTTACGTTCAGCCACCCCATTTTGTTGTGGAGTGTGAGGACAAGTAGTTTGATGTAAAGTACCTTGTGTGGCCAAGAAATTAGAAAAATCAATAGAAACATATTCCTTAGCATTATCACTACGTAGAATACGAATAGAAACACCAAATTGAGTATTGATCTCAGTAGAAAACTTTTTATAAATGGAAAATAACTCAGAACGATTTTTCATTAAATAGGTCCAAGTGCAACGGGAAAAATCATCAATAAAGGCAACGAAATACCGAAAACCTAAGACAGACAAGGTACGACTTGGACCCCAGATATCTGAATGAACAAGAGAGAAAGGGGCATCAGCTCGTTTATTGACTCGACTGGCAAAAGAGGAGCGTGTATGCTTCCCTTGTTGACATGACACACAATCTAAAGACTGAAGACCGGACAAAAGAGGAACCATTTTCTGCAACTTGGAAAGACTTGGATGACCAAGGCGACTGTGGGTAAGTTGTGGAGATTCTGTGAGAGAGCATGCTACTGAAGGACGAGGCACATCCAGATAATAAAGCCCCCGTGACTCACGACCCACTCCAATCATTTTTCCCGTACCCGGATCCTGCACAGAAACAGAATGGTTAGAGAAAGTAATGGTGCAAGTGAGGGAGTGGATCAACTTACTAATAGAAATTAAGTTATAAGGGATGCCAGGAATGTAATAGACAGATGTCAGGGCCAAGGTAGAGGTCGGACGAGCTTGTCCAATCCCACAAACTGGGGCTTTGGTTCCATCCGCAAGGGTAAAAGACGGTAAATGATCAGAATAAGCAAGAGATGTAAAGAGTTCCTTATTACCACAGAGATGATCGGTAGCACCGGAGTCAAATATCCAAGTGCCAAGTGATGTAGAATGAGAAACACAAGCAACGGGATTACCAGTATAAGGCTGAGACTGAGGAGAAGCCTTCCTGAGAGGGGTTTGGAGTGCAGCACAGTCCGAACCTGAACCAAATGATGCTTTGTCTGACTGAGCTATATTTGCAACAATAGAAGGAGAGTTAACCTCCGAGAGATCAGGAGATGCTGCTGCCATTTAAAGATAAAATATAAAAGCCGTAAACGAAGGCAAACGATATCCAATCAAGAAGAACCATGCGTCTAAGGTCAGACCCACAGAGAAACAATCACAAATCCAGAAAGGGGAGGAGAAGGCGAGCTTCTCTGTCCAAGACCGACCGGAAAAAGCCGCCAGAATAGTGCTCACGCGCCAGCAGAAGGTGGCGCGTGAAGCCCACGAGCAGTGAAGACAGGTGGCGCGTGACGGCGCGTAGGAGATGCGTTGCTGACCGGACCACCACAGACCTGGTCGCCGGGAAGAAAGGGTCCTGATCGCGTGAAGTTTGGTCGGAAAAGTCGCCGGAAAAAGTCTCCGGTTGCCTGAACAGTGATTCTGACGGCGGGCGGTGGTTCCGGTGGCCGTCGGAGGTGCTGACGCGTTTGGAAAAATCACTCAGAGGCTGTTTACAGCCCTAGAAGGCTTGCCGGAAGGACGCACGGCAAGAAAGAGGACTCCTAAGCAGTGGGCTTAGGTTTTTAAAGCAAAAAACAAGGTTTCTGAGCGGAAGAGCTCTGATACCAAGTTAAATGTAAAAGAATACGTTGTGTATTGATCTGTGTCAGGGAGTTACAATATATAGAGACCCTAATGGGCTTAAGTGTAAGGCCCAAACCTAATCCAAACCTAATCCTAATACAGTCAGAATACAGTCAGACTATTTACGGATAAGACAGAATCCAATCATATCTAATCAAATCTAATCATATCATATCTAATATTCTAACAAATACAATCCCTTCGTGACAACCATCCACGGTCGTCGAAATCCTTAGTTTGCTGAACACCTTGGTATTGAACTCAATGGCTCAAGAATAGAGATCTGAGAAAAAGAAAAAGAAATCCCAGTATCAGATTCTATGTCAATCAATATTGTGCATCAAGCTCTATCTTCATCGAAAGAGAGTAACACAGCAAACCAAAGTGCTTTCTTCGCCCTTATTTTACTGAAACAGGAATGAACTTAGACACAGAACTTGTATGGGACTGGTGGTGGCTCTGACACTTCAGATCAAGGTTGAGGACGTTCAAATAGACGTGGAAATTGAGAACAAGGATGTGGTAGCCAAAGTAACAGTCAGTGCAACCTTTGCTACAAGTTCGGTCATGAAGTTGAAACCTGTTGACACTGGTTCGGTGAGACCTTTGTCCCCATGCTACCTCCTCCAACGATTCCTCAATATTCTCCTCCACAACAACAACAGCGATTCTTTCAATACCTGCAACCACCCACAAGCTATGCTTACTACTCAACCAGGATTGTTGCCGACTACAGCTACTGTTCCTGTTCTAGAATGTTTCCCAGACTCTGGAGCCTCACACCATGTCACCTCTAATCTACAGAATCTAGTTCAAAGTACTCAGCTCTCTGGTCTGATCAAGAACTTATTGGCAACGACCAAGGTATGCCAGTGACAGCTGTTGGCTCTACACAATTCACCTCACCACTCCAACCACACTCCATCTTTGGAATTTTCTCTTAGTCCCCTCTATCATGAAAAATCTAATCAGTGTCAGTAGCAAGTCATTAGTATTAATCCTGTTAAGAACAGCACTCCAGACAAAAGGTTTGACCTTACAGTCAGATGTTCAACTTATAACATTATCCATTTTTAACTAAATCTTATGATTGTTAAAAGGCACCCCAATGCACAAGGCTCCTTGTAGGGCATGGAGAGGTTCAGATGTGTGCAGCCTTATCACAACAGCAAAATGGTTTTTTCTGTAACTGGAACCCATGACCACCAGGTCACAAGTTAACAAACTTTAACAATGTGCCAAGATTAACCCTAAACTAAAACTTATAATCATTATTTGGAAAAAGAAAATTGAACAAATTAATGTAAATGATGCTGGCTGATCTAAATCCAAGTATACACAAAATTTTCAATCCCACTCCAACGGTAGAAAGGAAAAAAGTTAATACAAAAAGATAATCAAACTCATAAAAACAATAAGAGAAAGAAAAGGCAATGGAGCAAACAAAATCAGTAACATTACCTTCCCATAAATACCAGTTGACTCGAATAAGGTGTCATTTCCAGCATAAAGAAGGCCCTGAAATCAAGCAAGCAATTTTACTTTTCCATGAGTGACAAATTAAATAACACTCAAAGTAACATCTTGGCATTACACTAATGTAGCAATGCATGCTTTAACTAATAAATGCATAAAATCTTTTAAAATATATATCTCCTTAGCTTAGCACAAAGCTCAATAAGATCATGTGCTACTTATGCTAGAGCATCCAAGAAAGTTCTCCAATGAATTCAGTCTAGCTTTTATATCATTCCTCATCTTCATTTTGTACAGAAACCAACAGTTTCTTTCATATTCAATAGAAAACCTGGACTTACAAATGACCCTTTAATGAAGATAGGTTAAAATATCCCTTCAAGAGTAAGGTCTTCTTCTTTGCAACACTTTTCATAGAAGAAACTACAACACAATATTCAACCCAGAGTTCCGTCTTTTTCACCAAATCCCCCCTGTCCTAGCTAAAATACCTACCCTTCCTCATTACATTCACTCCCCAAATGAGTCAGCTGCCTCAAATAATTATTTGAAAATACAATAAAGGGAAAATCCACCCCCCCCCCCCCCCAAGATAAGGATGAGAGTCGATTGTCCGCAACAACACCATTACATTTTTTTTTTTTGTAAAGAATTTGTTTCCAAAACTCAAACCTGTAACTTTCGGGTCACAATTCTCATGTGCGGTGTGCCTGTCCCTCTCGCATGTTAACTTAGACCCAAGCTAACACCTCTCTCCATATTTGATCATAAGAAGTTGGTTGTATGGAAAAAAAGAGAGCCTAATAGTAATTCAGATATTGGCCTAACTCATCATCAGCCATCAAGCAAACAAAGCATTGCATCAAAATTGTTTCTCAGCTCTTCCAAAACAAAATAAAACACCCAGAAAATTAAAAGCATTAATAAAACTAGATACATGAATATAAAATTAAACCAATCCCCAACCATATCAAGCAGTAACTGAAAAACATATCTTGAACCCAAAAAAATTGACCTGGGTGAAGGCTTCTGGGTCGTGAGGGAACTCATTGACCACAGTGACCATTTCATAGGAAACCCCACGTTGGAACGCGCGCAACTTGTTCGACGAAATGATCAAGAGAGCGATGACGGAAACAACGAGAGAAGCGGAAAGAAGAATGGAAACTGCGGTTAAAGCGCGAGGCTTGCGCCGTGGAGGAGGAGCGGCTGCCATGGAAGGGTTCTCCTGCATCTCACGGGGCCTCTTCTTCAGCGATCTTGTTCCCATGGTTCTTCATGGGATAGAGAGAGAAAGCGAGAAAGAGAGAGAGGTCAACGATAGCACGTGGTTGTCGCAGGTCAACGATGGCGCTAACATGCGCCTGCTATATGTCTCTTTCTTGTTTACAGCGCCTCGTCGACTACGTGACGGCGCAGAACGCGCGGCGGTGTTGGTTGGGTGAATCAGCTGTGGGCAAGACCACTGTGAGCATCTGTTCGCTTCGGCGTCGGTTTTGCCACGTCACATATTATTAGATGTATATAGCTTAGTTTGTACCTATAGCAGCTGATTACTGCTGCTCTTGCTATCAGTTAGGTTGTTACAAGTTTGTTAGATTTGCTAACTCATCTCTGAGTCAGCTTTGTGCTCTATATATAGAGTTTGTACTCTTTTACATGATATACGATTCATTTCTACTCTGATAATACATTTTACACATTAACTCTCTCTCTCATGCCTCTCTCTCAATCTCTCTCAGTTTCTCACATTTTCCTTCAATGGAGGAATTCTATTATGGTATCAAGAGCCTTATGATCCATACACAGTAGTTAATCATGTCTTCTGCAATCAACACAGAAGCCAGCGCAGGTGGTCAAAGCAAATCCACCTCCAAAACCACGATGGAACCTAAAAATCCATCGTCTCTCTTCAATTTTCAGATCTCTGCAAGGTTAACAGAAGATAATTATCTCTTCTGGAACCAGATCATAGAACCAATCATTACTTCACATCAACTACAACGTTTCTTAGTGAATCCAAAAATTCCTCGAAAGTTCGAGACAGAAGACGATCAAGAAAACGGTGATTTTAGTTCTGCATACTCTGAGTGGTTAACACAAGATCAGATGCTCTTGACTTGGCTGTTATCCATTATCTCTGAGCAAGTGGTGAACGACATTCTCCCTGTGAAACACCCGTTCGAAGCTTGGGAGAATATACACAAGTTGTTTCATGGCGTGATGAAATCCAGATCCAGACAACTCAGATCTGAGTTGAAGACAATGAAGAAAGGTACGAAGACTGCAAGAGACTACATAACTCGAATCAAAACGATCTGTGATTCTCTTAAATCAATTGGAAATCCAGTCTCAGTTGAAGAGCATATTGAGACGATACTTGAAGGATTGCCTTCTGATTACAATCCGTTTGTGATGATGATACATGGACGTGACAGAGCATACTCCGTTGCAGACTTAGGAGTAGAGCTTATAGCTCATGAACAGCTTCTGATCAAGCAGAATGAACAGCTACTGAATGAAGGAGCATCCCTGAACCTCACTCAACGTGTTCAGGTGCAGAAGAAACTTGAATCTGATGAAGAAGATGAATCTGTTTCTAAAACCAGAAAACAAAGTCGAACAGAACAACCTGCAGAAGGTCATTTCAACAGCTCAAGTGGTCAATACAGAGGAAGAGGTAGATCTCCAATGAGATTTAATCGAGGTAGAGGACGTGGAACTAGATCAAATGTCCATTGTCAGCTATGTTATAAGTTTGGTCATGATGTAAGGGAGTGTTGGCATCGATTTGAAGAGAACTTCACTCCAAGCTTACCACCACCACAAAATACATCATATCCTCAGTTCTTTGCTCATCAGCAACCTCAATCAACAAGATCCTTTCAGTACAACAGATCACAGAACCAACCACAGGCATTCATCTCAACACATTCTGCTGGCTCTTCAGTTCCACACTCAACTCCACTAGTTGAGTGGGTTCCTGATTCTGGAGCATCGAACCATGTCACTGGTACACCTCAAAATATCATTCAAGGTCAATATCTTAGTGGTACTGATCACATTCTGATTGGAAATGGACAAGGTTTATCCATAACAGCTATTGGTTCCTCTTCAGTTATATCTCATTTCCATTCTAATTCCTTATTGCATCTTAAGAATTTGCTCTTAGTCCCATCTATTACCAAAAATCTGATCAGTGTCAGTCAGTTTGCTAAAGATAATTCAGTATTCTTTGAATTCCATTCTGATGTTTGTTTTGTGAAATGTCAGGATTCTCATCAAATACTTCTTCAAGGTGTTGTTGGAACTGATGGCTTATACCACTTTCCAAATTTGCAGCTCACCACAGATTCTGTCCCAGTCAAAAATACCTCTTGTACCAGCCCTCCTTCTATCAACAAGTCTGTCAATCTAGTTAGTGCTAGTAGTAATACCAATGTACCTAGTACCAGTACTGGTATTAGCATCAATAATACAACATGTACTTCAACTGATTCCTTGTATTCACTGTGGCACTGTCGTTTGGGGCATCCACATCTTGAGTCTCTTAAAAGTGTACTTAAATCTTGTAATATACACATCAATAATAAAATAGCAGAATTTTGTTCACCTTGTTGTTGTGCAAAGTCTCATAGACAATATTCCCCATCATCCAAAACTGAATATACTGTACCTTTTACTCTAGTCTTTAGTGATCTTTGGGGACCATCTCCTGTCCAATCTTCTCTTGGTAATACATATTATATCTCTTTTGTTGATGCTTGTACTCGATACACTTGGCTTTATCCCATCAAACAGAAATCTGATGCTATTGCTATTTTTAAACAATTTCATACTATGATAACCAATCAATTTCAGCTGCCCCTAAAAGCCTTACAAACAGATTGGGGGGTGAATTTCGGGTGTTCACTCAATACCTTAACCAGCATGGTATTATCCATCGAGTTACATGTCCACACACTCATCATCAAAATGGTGTTGTGGAAAGAAAGCATCGTCATGTTGTGGAGACTGGTCTAGCTCTCCTTTCACACTCCTATCTTCCAATGTAGTATTGGGACTATGCTTTCTCTACTGCTGTGTACCTTATAAACAAACTTCCCTCTTCTGCCATTGCTTTTAAAGTTCCTCATACTGAACTCTTCAAACAACAACCTGATTACCTTTTTCTTAAGTCTTTTGGTTGTGCCTGTTTTCCCTTCTTAAGGCCATATAATAAGCATAAAATGGAATTCCGATCAAAAGAATGTGTCTTCCTTGGTTACTCATCACATCACAAAGGCTATATCTGTTTGAGTCCTGATAGCAAAATTTTTATCTCAAAAGATGTGTTATTTAATGAGTACAGGTTTCCTTTCAAGGAATGGCCTACCAAGAGGATCAGTACCACTCCTCAGACTGCTCCCACATGCTTTATTCCCTTGTATGTTCAGCCCTCAAGTGGTTCCAACACTGGGATTCCAAGCACAGTTGTTGCTTCCAGCATCCAAACAACAGCTCCTGCATATGTCTCTCCAGTGACTCACACTGACAGCAATGCTGATACCTCCAATGTTGTGTCTCCTATTACACCTCATGCTAATGAATCATCCTCTGGTAGCAGTCTTGATTGTCCAGCTATTGCAGTTGATTCTGCCCTTTGTGATGGATCGCCAGGAACTGCATGTTCTCCTTCTCCTTCACTGTCCTCACCAACCAGTCCTGCATCATCACATTCAGAATATGCTCCATCCACTTCTCTGAGTTCTTCCTCTCCTACTCATTCAATTATTACACGGTCCAAATCTCTGGGCAGGAATCTTGTATTGCTCATCCACATAGAACCTTCTTCTGTTAAGCAAGCACTCAACAGTCCACATTGGCTTAAGGCAATGCAAACAGAATATGTAGCCTTGCACAGCAACAGAACCTGGTCTCTTGTTCCCTTACTTCATGGAAGGAAGGCTATTGGGTGTAAATGGGTGTTCAAGGTGAAGGAAAATTCATATGGAAGTATCAACAAATACAAGGCTCGTCTAGTGGCTAAGGGGTTTCACCAAAGGCCAGGGTTTGATTACAATGAGACCTTTGCTCCTGTTATAAAACCTGTCACTGTTCGGGCTATTTTAGCCATTGCTCTTACCTATGATTGGCCTTTGAGACAACTAGATATCAACAATGCCTTTCTAAATGGAGACCTAGAGGAGGAGGTGTACATGGTACAACCTCCAGGCTTTGAGGCTGAGAACAAGTCCCTTGTTTGCAGACTACACAAGTCTCTTTATGGCCTCAAGCAAGCTCCAAGAGCTTGGTTTGACAAGTTGAAGAATGCAGTATTGTCATTCGGTTTCCAAGCAAGCAGGTGTGATCCATCCTTATTCATTTATAAAGCTGGAAGTTTGAGAATCTATATGTTAGTTTATGTAGATGACATTATCCTTACGGGTAACAATGCTCCATTTATTCAGAAATTTATCTCACAGCTCCATACCTCTTTTACTCTAAAGGATCTAGGGGACTTGGACTTTTTCCTTGGTATTGAGGTTAAGAGGCTGCCTACTGGTTCTTTGTCTCTCCATCAATCCAAGTATATCAGAGATCTCCTTGCTCGGGTCAATATGCAGGAAGCAAAGGCCATCTCTACTCCTATGGCTTCTAGTTGTAAACTCTCCAAAATTGGCTCAGCTACCTTTGATGATCCTCATTTGTATCGATCTGTGATTGGTGCTTTACAATATGCAACCATTACACGACCAGAAATCTCCTTTTCTGTCAACAAAGTTTGCCAATTTATGAGTCAGCCATTGGTAGAGCACTGGAAGGCTGTAAAACGCATTCTACAATATCTACAAGGCACTACCACCTTTGGTCTTCATTTTCATCCTGTTAAGTCTCCTCATGGATCTTTTCCCCTTACTGCTTATTGTGATGCTGATTGGGGAAGTGATGTTGATGATCGTAGGTCCACTTTTGGAGCCTGCATCTTCCTTGGTTCGAACTTGCTCTCTCGGTGGTCCAAAAAGCAGCCACTTGTAGCACGGTCTACTGCTGAGGCAGAGTACAGGAGTATGGCACTCGTTTGTGCTGAGATTTTGTGGATTAAATCTCTTTTTCATGAATTGCAACTATCACTATCTGTCCCTCTTATCTTGTGTGACAACCTGAGTGCTGTGGCCATTGCCCACAATCCTATTCTTCATGCTCGTACCAAACATCTTGAATTGGACTTGCATTTTCTTCGAGAAAAGGTTGTTGCCAAGGATATTACAGTTAAGCACATTCCTGCTGCAGATCAATTGGTTGATTCCTTTACCAAACCACTGTCCCTCTCCACGTTTGCTGCCTTTAGAAGCAAGCTCAAAGTGTTGAACTCGCCTCCTCATTCCACCACTGTTGACCTTGTGGGGAAGTATTAGATGTATATAGCTTAGTTTGTACCTATAGCAGCTGATTACTGCTGCTCTTGCTATCAGTTAGGTTGTTACAAGTTTGTTAGATTTGCTGACTCATCTTTGAGTCAGCTTTGTGCTCTATATATAGAGCTTGTACTCTTTCACATGATATACGATTCATTTTTACTCTGATAATACATTT